TTACAAGTTAACATAACGATTTCTTCCTCGGAAGTGAGGTTGTGGTCGAAGTAACAATAATATTGTAATAAGTAGTATTATATTGACACCCACCTCTGCCACGAGAGAAATTGTTATGATATATATATGTCATGCAAAATCCTATTGGCCATCAATAAAATACATATTTTACTACCAGTAGAAAGTAGTTTTGATTTTGTAACTTCGGTGAAAACAAACCTCAATACCATTCATCTTCAGACTGGCGGATGTTCCCGACAGGCGCCGCCATTTTAACAATAAAAAAATCTGTTAGAATTAATGAGATTATAGTTTGTTTTCATCAAGTTAGAAAAATCAAGACTACTTTCTACTCGTTGTTAAATATGTATTGGAATCATAACCAAACGGATTTTGCATGACACAACTTTCTAACATAACGATTTCTTCCACGGAAGCGAGGTGGGGTTCGAAGCCACAATACTCTTGCTGATACATTTCTTGCTACATTCCCATGGTTAATGTCCACTCACCAGTGCGTAGATACTAGTCAATGTGCGTCTTTATATTTGGTCTTATAATCCTAATTAGTTTATTATCATACTTTTATGCATTTTGAAACTAAATAAAAGAAGGCGATCTGCTGATACTTATAGTAAATTTATAACAGAACTGTAATATCTAGACATTTTATAGTTTGCCAATGTGAATCATAATTAGCACACACCCTAGTGCATGTTGTCTGTCTCATTACACTTCAATGGCGAAAACAATGATTCTGTTGAATGCTACGACAAATGAATAAAAACAAAATGCAAATATTAAAATTAAAACAGATTAAAGTTATAGGAACAATATCAGGCCATTACCTTGTTCGAGGAATGTATCCATCAATATCCACAAAACTGTTCCAAATGATGTGTCTTTTAACAGTTTAATATACCAAAAAGTGATAAATCTTTTCAGGTATTGGTGTATAGTCTCATTGGTCACCCAAGATAGCACACCTGGCAACTAACTGCATAATGTCCGCCTTTCTTTAAAAACAGTAATTTAGTTAGCCAATAATGGGCAATCAATCAATGTATTGCTGGTTAATCCTTTGAAAGAAGGGCGTTGTTTTTATGAATACCGACCGACAGAGTGTATTCAGTATAGATTAGTAAATCTACATACATAAACACTACCTTTGACAAATCCGCTGTGTAAGATAAAAGTAATTAATCAATCAGCGTGTTATCGGTTAATCCTTTGATCGATGTTTATAATGTTGAATATTTACTCCAGACACAAGAAATGCCAAATGGGAACCTTTGTCGGTAATCTAAGTGTGTTACCACTAATTATACCTGTTATAAATTCATTAACTGACCATCAAGTGAATGATGACAAATAACATGTGTAGGTTTATACCACCTAACACGGGTTACAACGAGGAGTATTAATTGCTGTATTGCATGTGAAAACTTATGGGCCGACACTGTTTTGAGAATACAAACAGATTTTTACATGACATGATTAAATATCGAGGTAAAACAACACAGAAATGGGATCAATTTGGATCAGTCATTATACAAATAGGGCCTAACGACACCAATCGATTTTGACAGAATCGTCTATGAAAACAAGTTGTAACTTCGAAACTAGGCAAAGCAGGAGACAAAATTAAATGCCAGTAGATTGTGAGAACATATAGCTTTCATTTTCCACAACAATTGTCACGATTTCAGGTTTATACAAGCCTGTAAACACGATAATTTACCCCCTAAAATGTAGATGAATTCTGCATCGGCCCTCAAAGCTATTCCTCATATGACGTCACAGAGGCGCGCCGCTCTGATTGGTTGAAATTTCGTTCGCGGGTGAGAATTGTGCACTGTTGTCAAAAAGGTCGATTTAAGTCAATTAAAGGTCGAAATGAGTAGTTTTAATGACGGGGTTTCATTTATAACGGTGCCAGTTAATGATTTATGTATTTGTACCCCCTAGGGTTTATGTGACCTTTAAGATAATAAATTAAACTTAAGCAAAATATATAGATAGCATGTAGCTATTAGTACTGTTATCAGATAAGTATAAAATCTGTAAGATAGACTTATCTTCTCCGTGGAACTGTCAACTGTTGAGCGAGGACCATGGGACCGAAATGGTGGATACCTGAGACGTCCTCGGTGGTGATATCTCTCAGATAGTGGTTGGCAAACACCATATTGGATCTCCAGAAACATCCCTCCATTATGGTATTCAACGAGCAATTCCCATGCAGAGCGAGAGTTGAGGCTAGCGCTCTAATTTCGTGAGGATTAGAAGCTCTTGGAGGGTCGAGTCCTGCAGCCTTGTAGGCACGTAGTATGACAGTTCTGATCCAGATAGAGATCGTAGTACGTGAGACTTCCGTCTGCGTAGCTGTAGATATAGGGATAAATAATCTCTTGAATTTCCCTCTGCTCTGTTTGGATCGTTGGAGATATATTTTCAGTGCCCTCACTGGGCATAGTGATAGATCCATCGTATCATGCGGTCCAAGTATGGATGAGAGAGCTGGGACGTGAAATAATCTGTCTGGTTGGTTGGTTTTACGCTATAAAATCCCAGCGAAGTCCCAGATGAGCGATGTTATGAATATCATCAAAGCGTATTCTCTCGTAATCCAAAGCGTGAATCTCTGACATCCTGGCGGCCGTAGCTAACGCTAACAGGAATAAGGTTTTGTGGGTCAGTGATTCAAACGATGTAGATAGCAATGGTTCATAAGCCTCACTAGTGAGGTGTTGGAGCACTATATTTAGATCCCAGGCTGGAGCTTGAAACTTCCATTTCTGATCCTCCAATCGGAACGCTCGTAACAAAGCGAGTAACTCTGGTGTTTTTGTTAACTTGACGCCCGTTCGCATAGTTATGACAGTTATGACATACTTATGGCTGCAAGATAAGTGGACAAGGTTGAGCCTTTTAGATTCTTAGTTTGCCGTAGATAACATAAGAAATCTGCCACTTGAGGATGTGTAGCATATCTGGCTGTAAATCCTTTCTTAGCAGCATAATTGACAAAACTGTGCCATTTGTCATCGTACAAGTTACGAGTTGAGTTACGTAGTGCAAGCGTGACCGCTTTAGCCCTGAGCTGATGTGAGTAGTCCCAATAGGCTCTGCCACTGTCGTAGTGGTAACGGAGAGAGTAGGGCTTGAGGAATAAGTTGTTGGATCTTGATCCATCTGTCCTCCGGGACTACAATACGATTCTGAGCTGTTAGAAATCGTATACCTAGAAATTGCAAATCTTGCGTTGGTTCTAGGTCCGACTTGAGTAGATTTACTAACCATCCTAATTGTGTTAGTAGCTTGATTATAAATTTCAGCTGTAGTCTGAGACGCTGTGGATCTGGATCCACTTGTATACCGTCGTCTAGGTAAAAAGCGCTGCGAAGACCTTGACGATGTAGGTATGAGACAATAGGCTTGGTCACTCTTGTGAATACCCAAGGGGCCGATGTGATTCCGAAGGGAAGAACCTTCCATTGGTAATGTTTCCGTCTAGGATAAATCTTAGATATTTCCTTGAGTTGGGATGAATCGAATGTGTAGATATGCATCTTGCAAATCTATGCTGGCCATGTAATCTTTGGGGACGAATTAATTGCGAAGTTAGCGGTAAGTGTATCATCGCAAACGTTGGAGGTTTGCATAGATATTCTCTGTTGAAAATGCTCATGTTGTATATGAGGCGAAACTTCTCCTTGGAATTTTTCTTCGGCACTAGGAAAACTGGGAGTAGAAACCTGAATGCGATGTTTACGTTGATCCAGAACTTCTAAGGCCTGTTTGTTTAGTAGAGTAAGTACTGTTTCACTTAAAATAGGTACTTGTGCCGGTTGAACGTTGAACCCTGGGGGGTTGACTGTTAACGGAGGCTTGGCCTTGAGTTGTATTAGATATCCGTGCTGTAGGATGTTGGATACATATGGATCTTGTAGTATTCCCCAGTTTTCCCAGTGTAGCTGAAGGCGTCCACCCACTTGAGACGGTTGTACTGGAACGGCTGGGGGTGGAAGACTCCAGTCGTTCCGAACCTGAATTTCATCGTCTAAATCCACGGGCACCTCTGGATGATCTGCCTCTAGCTGATCCTCCCCTAAATTTGTTGTATGGGCAACGAAAAGAATCCTTGGGATCTTTAGCTGCAGCTTTCTGTAGCCCCGAAAACTTAGACTTGCCTGAGTATCTCTGTGTTGACTGTTTAATGACGTCCGCTAAGGTGTCCATGGATCTGATCATAAGAACCTCTCTTGAGTCTTTAGATACTTCTTTGAAGACCTTGTCTACGTTGCCATCAAACAGTAAGGGCGATGACCATGGAGCTGTGTATAGAGATTCTGTAAATTGCTTATCCCAAGAGCAGGAGGCTAGTAAGCCTTGCCGACGAGCCATGGTAGTAGTTTCAGTAAGTGCTGATAGGTGCTCTGTAAGAAATTGGTGGTCTCTTTTCTGCATGAGTAGAGCTGAGTAGATCATTCTATCTTCCTCCTCTGTAGAATTCTTGAACTTGGTGATGAGAGTTTCATTAATCGTTCTAGATCTATTCAATCCAAAGAACATCCTCCTGGCGATGGTATCTAGTTGAGCGAATTTGCGATCGTCTACTTTGTAACTTCTGGACTTGGCATCGCTGATTAATTTAAAGTTGTCATCAATATCCTGGGCCTTGAAAAAGGGGTCCATATTGTGTCCAGCAAATTTCTTGGCATTGAAGACCGGGAAATGTGTAGATTGGACTTTTGAAGATTTGGAACAGGCTGTATCCAAATTAGCTGGTACCGCTGCAATCGGATCAATAGGAGGTAAGGTGATATTGTCTACATCATCATCCTTCATCAGGTAAGTCTGAGTTGAATTCTCGTTCTTCGATGGGGAAGCAAGTTGTAACTCATTCACCATCCAGTATCTGATCTCAGCATCTGAGAAAATGATACCTTCTTCCTCTGATGTAGGGTCACATGTCGGAGTCCTAGATCTGTAGGAAGATCTATGAGAGGACTGTGGTGAACGGACTGACGAGTGGCTAGTGTAAGGAGACCTTGGAGGAGACATCCTCGGCGAACGCTGGGGACTTCGCGAAGCTCTTCTAAATCTTCTGGGCGAGGTAGATATGGAGCCACTTAGCCTTCGCGACCTTCGCGAATGTATCGAGTCAGTGTCCGAATCGACATATGAGCGCTTGCTTCGCGAACGACCTCTGTGTTCTACAGGGTGTGGGCTCGGCGAAGCGCTCCTTCTCCGCGATGTCCCTCGCAACTGGATAGGCTCTAGCTCCTTCGTGGAGGCGGCCTGGGACTTCCTTTGCGAAGTGATCGCTACGGGCTGGGTTGCCCTTCGCGGAGGCGCGTTTGTGGGCTCTGGGGCCCTACGCGAAGCCAAGGCGGGCTCTGGGGCCCTGTATGACTTATTAAGTGTTGGGCTCTGGGGCCCGTGGCTCCTCCATCAGTCTCATGATTTGGTTAACCAGGTCGTCTGGGACAGTCTGCGCTGGCGTTGAGGGTGGCTTCTCTGTGAAAGTGACGGGACCCTCAATCGTAAACTCAGGCGTCAGCGTAGGCATCTCTGGTTGCGTGTTTATATGCGCTGTTGTGACGGTAGCAGATACTGGACGTTTCTTTTGACGTACATCTGGAATGATAATCGGAATGTCATCATCATATAAACATAATTCTGAGACAGGTAGAATATCGGAGGCAAAATTATTTGTAGTTTTCGTAGATTTCCCTTTTGACGAAGCTGTGGACCTGGGGGTTCGAAGCGTACGTTGAGATGATGTGGACGCTTTCCTAGTCTTAGACTGAGAAGACGGAATGTCTTGAGATGCAGGTCGCTTCTTGGACATAGCGGACTGCGTCCCACGCTTATCCCCCCGAGGGAAACTCCGGCATGCCACCAGCCGGTGGCGGGTCGTCAGTCAACAGTTGACAGGGTATAATAGCTTCCGATCTATAACCATGACTGAAGATTGTATGCAAGATTTATCTGCCTTCCGTCTCAAAACGGAACATAAATATTTATCAAAGGCAGAGATTGGTAAATTAATACATAATTTACAACGAGAAACAATAGAACATGGAGTAATGCAACTAGGGCATTTTAAATGTGGATCGGTAGCAGAATAACGTAGTTTACAACCTGTGCAGATTCTCATGAACGTAAACTGCTGAACAAACACGGCGAACCATGAATAAAACAGCAGAAACACGACTAATAATCAATGCAAGTTGAATAAGGATACTAGTTACACCTCTATAACTGAATATGAGAGGTACTAAACTAAATATAAATAAAGGATATAGTGTGTTGGGAGACACAGGCGCTCTCACGTCCAGCTCACTGGGCGAAGAAGGAGAGAGTGAGGCACATGGGTTCGGGTGGCGCCCTCGTTCCCGCGCTTGTGGAAGGGAGGTAACTCGTGGTGAGTACTGATTAGTGATTTTTTAATTGAAGGGAACTTCAATTGGGAGATACACGTGTTCCACTATGTTCGCAAGAAGAAGACAAGCAATAAGCATGAGTCAGGATAAGGACAAATTTCTCTCCTGTAAACTGCCCTTTAAATGCATGGGAATGTTAAATCGATTGAAATAAAAATTAGGTAGACAATAGGCGAGTTGATATATTGACAACATAGTACATTTATCACCTTTATAAAGATATTAAGGCTAAAAAGCATTTTTCTAGCATTTCCGACAGTACTTTAGTCATTTAACATTCTCTCTGACTTTTCATTTCACTTTTAAAATTAGTCACACACCGTAGCCTTTTATCACTTTATCACCCAGACCTGCCATTTAACACCCAGTCAGACAAGTTGGTCATTTCACACTGCAAGGAAGGAGTTGTATGTACCTGTTTGAGAACCTTGACACCCTCGTGTATGGGTTGTGGTAGACCCGCCAGGGAAGAGTGGTCGTTCTTCACCTGGAACCCCACAAACTTGCCTCGGGTGTGCTCCAGAAACATCTCCAAGTCCTTTAACCTGCAACACATTGTCACCTCAATTATAACATTAAATACCTTCAAGAACTAAGTTTCACTTCTATCTTTAAAAACAAATGACTACCGTACCAGTTTGCCATAGCTACACTCAGAACATCTCTCAACAACTGATAACATAGTAGATAGATCACACTACAGGTACAGAAAACACTATCCTGAAACTCATCAAAGTACATACAGGCATAGCAAAATGTGTAACCTATTTAATGATAGATTTCTAGCACAAGGTCTGTGGTTATGATGATGATAAAATCCTTCTCTCTGTGTAGATAGTAACTGACCTGACTTTTGGTTTCCATGGCAATGACCTCTGTGTGACAGTGGGTGTGGAGGGTCTGGGTGGAGTGGGAGGTAACTCCTCGTCACTCCCATTCTTCATTGGGTCAATCTCTCTCATCAGATCATCATCACGTTCAGCTCCATTCTCAAAGGGGTCATCTAGACTGCTCTGTTTGACCAAACTCTAACATTGTAGCGTATCGTGGCAAGTCCACACAGGCACAGCAGATAGAGGAGGAAGCAGAAATGGCAGAGAGAGGTTAGAAAGCGAGGCTGAGCCAAACTCTCAGGCCGACCAGGAATCTACAGTCTTGGTCTGGGACATTCCCCCAGCGACATCGTTTCTAGATGTACATGTGGCCCTGTAACGACCCCAGACCAGACAGTGATGGGGCCTGGCAGACCTTCATCCTACTTGTGTGTTTGGTTCAGGTTAATGGCTCAGATGTTATTGGACTAAAGGTGTATTGTAGTTATATACCAGCAACTGTAGAAGTAACCTGACCATTGCTTTTCCATCAATCAACGTAACCTAGCTATACATTGCCCATATTCCCTTTCACTTCACTGATTCATAAATTAACCATTCTTCATGAACAAGAGACAACCAGTTACTGAAATTTAAGCTTGAACATAAAATGCATTATTTATATGGATAAATTTTTTTAAATTACAAAACACGTTTATACAGACTACAAGAACATAATAGAAGCATACATTGTGTTCATAGTTGATAATAACAAGCTAATCTCATGTACAAGCGGAGATAATCAATCAGATCATATCTCTAACAATTGCTATTCGGGTTGGTCCCACTAAAATTAGAGTTTATAATGAAAGGACAAACACACAAGTACTACAAAGCTGAGTTTTAGTAAAACATGTTAAGATGCACACTAAACAGTTGTTATTTCTGTCAAATATACTGTAAATAACTGTGCAACGTTTTGAGGACATGGTGAAGATAACGAGTTCTGCACACAAACACTTCGGTGTTACTGACTGATAACATTACAATGCACATCAAAGCTGCCTAAAATAAACCCCATGCTATAACCATATTATAAATAAAACTGTAATTTGATTTTGTGCTTGAAAATCACAAACATTACTGGTAATTTGTATTTCAATTCTTTTTATAAACCCATGGCAACGCATAACGGAAAACATGAGGTACAAGTGTTCCTTTATTTATTTCCAGATTTTCACCCACAGTGCAATATAAAGCATGACAAGAAACCTGGAAAAGAGTATAAGAACACTTGCACTTTCATGTGTTCCTGTATTTGTTTCCATGAGTATACAATAGCAGTTTTTCTCTACATAAAAGAGACACCAAGATCAGTGAAGATATTAACAATGCTATTAAATTGATCAAAACAAGTTCTGTTTCTCCGTAAAAATTTATTTCCAAGATTAATATGGGGAAAAATTCGAACTAACCTGTATAGGTTTCAGATTCTTTGAATATATTCCTCCTTGGGGTACTTATAAGCATTTAAATGTCCATTTAAAATCCCTACGACAGTTGTAACAATATTTGAATAAAATATTTACAAAACAAAAACTACGTTTTGTCTTGTGAGACCACCCTTACAGGGCCCTCTGGCCCCCTACAGCCAAGAGCAGGTAACTCTAGACAGTAACCTCGCACCTCACTTTCCATGCTGAACGACATCAGACAGAATGTGGGGAGGTGGTGGTAGGCGTACCCAAGGAGGAATATATTCAAAGAATCTGAAACCTATACAGGTTAGTTCGATTCTTTTATATATTCCTCCTTGGGGTACTTATAAGCATAAGACAGACTCCTAAAGAGCAGGAGCTAAGGGCGGCATTCTGTCTGCAGAAAACACCCCGACAAGAAGTGGAATTTCCCAAGCTAATTATAGCAGAAAAAGCACACTTACCCGTCACGCGTGTCCACCATAGCCAATCAGGCGGGGGCATGAACCAGGGTCAGGGTCGAACATATGTAAATTGCCCAGCGAAACCTCGCTAAAGCAAACTAACGAGACACACCCTCCCTCCTTCCCGTAATCTACTCGAGGCGAAGATAAGGGTCCCGCAATAAGCAGCCAGAAGCGAAATGCCTTAATATGTATATATTTTAGCAAAGCTTCCAAGGCCAGTAAAGTCTAGAGCAGAATGCAAAGACATGGGAATAAAACCATCACCACATAAAACCCGTCACCATGGGAATATGTAAACAAGATTTTTAAAACCCAACACCAGTGTTAAAAAGTTGGCATAGAATGGTTCACATACTTTCTCGAAAGCTCAATCGGCTAGAGAGGTGGAACCATGCCCACTGGAGAGAACTGACTGACCCGAACCGAGCACGCTCACTGGAGAGCCTGTCAAGTTGGAAATGACGGATGAGCGTGCTTCGGACGGCTCCAAATAGCCGCGAGCAGATCTCCTCAATGGGCAGGGCTGCAGCGTAAGCTTCGATGTAGCAACTGCCCTAACCGAATGAGCTTTCAACCCAACAGGCGGGATCGCCCTGTTTGAGTATAGCTCATATGTATGGCAAAGACAAGCCACCGAGAAATGGTTTGCTTGGTGGCGGAAGACCAGCCTGAACCCGCCATAACAACAAAACAATTGGTTACCCTTACGGGTACCCCTTGTTAGTTTGATATAAGCCTTAAGTGTCTTCACGGACATCTAAGGCGTGAGCACGTCGTGAGAGGTACCGGACAGGAAGGCTGAGTGAAAGCTGGGAGCTCAATAGGCGCCGTCACATGGAAGGGACTATCCTTCTTAGGGCGGTAAGTATCAGGCAGCCGTATGCTAACTCTGTCTTTGTGAAAACAGTAAGCGCGATCGGCCGACATTGCATGAATATCGCCAACCCGCCTGCCTGAAGTCACCGCCACAAGAAGCGCCGTCTTCCACGTCAACAGTTGGAGTGAAAGAGCCGACAGATTGTGAAACAGTGGACCGGACAGCCAATCAAGAGCGATTGACAAGTCCCGCGGGGACTAATCCGCCCGGACAACGGGACGGATTCTGTCCACGCCTGCTAAAAGCGCTGTACCAGAGGGTGCTGCCCCAAAGAGAGCACCGTCAACAGGTATATGAAACGCAGAAATAGCTGTAGAATATCCTCGAACCGTTGAAGCCGCTAGACCGGCGTCCAACGAGACTGGAGGAATTCTAAAACACAGACTAATTCTGTAGAAAGGGATCAAGAATCCCCTGTTGACACACCAGCGCCGAATAACAGGCCCATCTATCCTCATATTGAGCGTTTGTCGAATCCCTCCGCGAAGCCAGAATTGTGTCTGCAACTGGTGCAGGAATTCCCGCTTCGCGGGGCGATCCCCTGACAGCGGCCAGGCCACCCACTGAATCCTGGGATTGAAAGTGGAAACTCCGTTCTGGGATAGGAGGTCCGGTCGAAAAGGTAATAGAACAGGAGGCTGAGCCAGAAACCTGAGAATTACGGAAACCAGCGTTATTGCCGACCAAAGGGGTGCCAGAAGCACAAGTAGCCGAGCTGGTTGTGCGGTCAGCTGTGACAGGATCCTGGAAATCAGTGGTATCGGGGAAGGCCCACAGTACCCTGTCCGTCCAATCGAGCTGAAAGCGTGCGTTGGCTAAGCTCCCGGATCCGAATCCGGGGAGCAAAACACAGGAATCTGGTTCGGTCACCCCAGGCGCAAAACAGATCCACCTGGAATGACCCGAACAACTGGGAGATAATCCCGAATATCTCCCGGTCGAGCATCCACTTCGTGTGGGGCTAGTATCGCCCGTGAGAGTGCATCTGCATGGGCGTTGTCTACCCGGAGATAAACAGGCAAAACCGAATGTTGAACTGATTAAGCACCACAGTAGAAACTGCCACGCCTCCTGAAGGAGCCGGCGGAGACACTGTGCCGCTTGCTTGCTTGAGAATGTAAGACATGGCGTTTGATTGTCCATTTCTAGACGAACCACATGGCCCTGCACCAACACTTTCGGAAGCACTTTCGAACACCCTGCGGACTGCTCTCAGTTCTAACACATTGATGTGTAGGCTGACTTCTCCGCCCGACCAGAGGCCGGAGGCTGAGTGCTTCGCCAGGACCCCCAACCTGTGAGGGAGGCGTCCGTCTGAACTGAGAGGAAAGGTGTCGGGGTGTCGAGGGGATCCCCTGGACAAATTCCCCGACTTCCGTCCACCATCGCAAGTGAGGAATTAACCACTTTCGGGCGTTGTGAGAATAATCTCAGTAGCTCTGCGAGTGGGACCACAACTGCGCTAACGCTTGCTGAACTGGTCGATCCTCAGGCCAGCGCCGCCAAACCACGTCCACTGTCGCCGCCATGTTGCCTAGCAACGAAGCCATGTTCGAGCTGACGATTGGGCGACTGGAGAAACTGTGAAACAGTACTCTGGACTTTGGCGATGCGGTCCGGGGCAAGAAACAATCCCTAGCTCCGTGTTGAATGTTGCCCCAAGAATATCAGATCCTGCGTCGGAGCGAGGTCTGATTTCTTGAGGTTGATAATCCAGCCCAGTGACACCAGAGTATCCATCACGCGCACAGTGTGGAGGCTCTGCTTAACTGAGGACCTAAGGCCCTGAGAAGCCAATCGTCTAGGTATGCGGTGACAACACCTGCCCTGAGACCTGGCTAACTGAGCTGGGATTAGCATAAGTTTGGTGAACACCCTTGGCGCGTGGAGATGCGAAGGGGAGCATCTTGAAACTGGTAGCACGTCCGTCGAAGGAGAACCGGAGGTACTTCTTGAACTTCGGGTGCATTGGAACATGGAGGTATCGTCTTTGAGATCGATTGGCGTAAGCCAATCCCCTGTCACCGACGGAGGAGATCACTGACCTGAGTGTCTCCATCCTGAAAGACGGCACCTCCAGTAACTGGTTCAACCCTCTGAGATTCAGAATGGGTCTGAACCCTCCGTCCTTTTGGTCACTAGGAAGTAGGTGGAATAAAACCCTCTCCTTGTTGACCCACAGGAACCACCTCGATGGCTGCCTTGTTCAGTAAGGACTGAACCGACACGGAATGCTGTCCATGTCGGAGAGGAGGAGGATCTCGCCCACTGGCACAGGCGTGTGCCAACCCTCCGGAGAAGGACGGAGGATCTCGCCTCCCACTGTGGCAAATGGCCATCCCTGGCGTGGACAGGACCCAGGGATTTGAGGTGGCTGCCTCCCACTCCCGGAGGAATAGGGACAGCCGACGCGCCTGACAGGGGCAGTCGCCGGGGCAGAAGGATAAGCGGGCCTTAGCGGGGAAGGCAGCTGGCGAGGCGGAGGGAGGGCTGCTCCAACAAAGGCTTTGAGTCTTTGAAGGTAGAGACAGCCTCCAGCGGCCTCGATACTACCTGCAATGCCCCAGGGAACAGGGAGGATCCCATGGTATAGGGCAATGACAGGGCGCTTGTTGTGTGGCCGGCGAATACCGCGCCACAGACAACCACAGGCGGCGCAAGCCCATGACGGCACCCATCATCTGGCTGGCACAGCACCGAATGCTATCCCTAGCCAGATGCGAGTGTACGTCCGTGAGCTGGCGGGCGCGAGCACCGACTCCGATGAGTCGGCGCCACAAGCGCTGTGAGCCACCAGCTGTCCCTGCAGTGCAGACAGGTAGGCCGAGTGGACTGCTACTTTGAGGTGCTGGGCCGCGCACCGGTAACATTCCTCGAATGACCGGTACGCAGACTTCAGCGGCAGTGAATTAGCAGGAAAAGGGGGGAGGCGCCTGCCCTGCCTGGCGAGGCCAGGGAAGGCGAGGGACGACCCCCTAGCGTGACTGAGGCAAAGACGCGCTTTCGTCCACCACTGGTGGTTCGAATAAGCGTCTCCTCCCCAACTGGTACCTCCTGCCAGCGTCCGGGCAGATCAAATCTCGAGCGAGAACCAGTTAAGAGAGGATTTACCACCTCACCTACCAGTGATGGTAGGATGCGTAGGCGCGCCTCGGCGACCTTGGTAGGCGCAAAAGCCTCCCCCGGGAGCCGAAACTCCCGCGGTAGGTAGAGCCTGTGTGGGAGCGGCCACCTGGGGCAGGGCTTCGGCAATTTTTTCCCGCACCTGCCTCAGAGACGAGCCAAAGTAGGAGTACGGCACTCCCGCCTCCGGCTCCTCCCTCCCTCCATGTCCACCTTGGCATAATCCTCGGCAGCCGTACTCTCATACTCCTGAGAGACCGCCGAGGATATACCAGAGGCTGAACCCGAAAGACCATAAAGGTCAAGAGGCGCCAGAAGCAACGAGTCGCCCAGCCGGGCAGAACTCGCCCCAAGTCGCCGAGGCGCCCGAGAGGAACCTGCCGCGACAGGCCTCCCGGGCAACCCAGACCGGGAAAGGAAAACTTTCTTGTAATGGACCCACGTCTATGTCGGGAAACGACAGCATGGAAAGTGAGGTGCGAGGTTACGGTCTAGATTTACCTGCTCTTGGCTGTAGGGGGCCAGAGGGCCCTGTAAGGGTGGTCTCACAAGACAAAACGTAGTTTTTGTTTTGTAAATATTTTATTCAAATATTGTTACAACTGTCGTAGGGATTTTAAATGGACATTTAAATGCTTATAAGTACCCCAAGGAGGAATATATAAAAAAGAATGAAGTATGTTTTTCCATGATCTTCTGTCAATGGGTGAGGTCAAGGGATGGCTACAGACAGGTGGACAGATAGGTGGACAGACAGGAGGGGAAGCACAGGACAGAGAAAGATACGAAACATGGCAACAAAACGACACACACATAACTACCAGTAAACATGGTAAAGCATTGATATCCCAACATGGCTTTTACAAGTTCAAGACTGAAGTGATCCACATCCATGAGTGTTTACAAGGCACACTATATTCAGGCAACAGAACCTGCTGTCTGTGACATTACCAGGAGTTGTGCGTTTAGGATATAGTGATGGGAAACATTGGGTAAACATACAAACACAGGGCTCCCAGTAGTACAGATACTGTGTTGTGTTTATTCATGGTGGCTGTCTGGTGACAAAATGTAACATATTGAATATTCATCAGAGGAATTATTTTCAGTGACAGTAATTTGATAGGAAACACTCTAGTCCCAATCTTATCACAGGTTCCAATCTATACTGCAAAACTCAGAGATCACATTGAAATGCCAAGCTCTCACACACACAGTTTCTGTATGATCCTGGCAAACCCATAGTTACAAAGTGTTTCCAACCTCCAACTGGTCATCAAAGGACAACAACTATCAGCAGGTATCACAAATAGCAACATGTGGAAACCCATGTGATCAAGGGTAAAGGGATCCATGTAATCCCATGTACCTACCCGTTTGCCACCCCGAGGTCCACGCCGGGGCACCTGTTGTTCAATGAGGTCAGCAGCAGACGCAGGAGGCGAAGAAGCCCTCATGTTTTTGCACACTTCATATGTGTCTTCTGGTAATGGAGGCAGGCCATTCTCCTGTCGTACTTGATTCTTGATATCCTGCAGTTCCTTTAATCCTCCTAAGGAGACCTAGTTATGAAATGGGGAGAACATTCAGAGATGATTAACAAGACCAGGTACAATGACATTCATCACAGATAATTGGAAATATTAACTATAAATTGTATACTTATCCTATCTCATGTCTTGTACTCTCTCTCTCTTTAATTCGACCAGTGAATTTGAGTGAAAACGAACTGCAGACAAAATCCTAGGCCTGTCTTGTCCAATCGCCTGTGCACTCCATGCTGCTCCCCTTATTGGACAGCCTCTGTGTCTCCTGAGAAGCATGCAGCATGCTCGACTACCTGCTCCCGTGACCACCCTTCTCTGATCATCATCGTTCTTGGATCAAAGTTGTAATCTTAGTTGATCTTAATCTGGTCAGCCCCTGATTTGAGACCGCCCCTGCAGACACTATCGATTAGAGGGTGAAAGGGGAAATGACTTGGAAAACTCACTATTTTAATGGGTTTGGCCCTCCCATAGTGCAAAGATAAGTGAAGAAAAATCCCTCCTGTTCACAGTACGTCTGCACAGCTGTGCGACAAGAAAGAGAATGATTAGAGAGGGGTGGTCACGGGAGCAGGTCTGGAGCATGCTGCATGCTGCATGCTTCTCAGGAGACAAAGAGGCTGTCCAATAAGGGGAGCAGCATGGAGTGTACGGGCGAATGGACAAGAGAGAGAGTACAAGATGTGAGATAGGATAAGTCTAAAAATATAGGTATAACGTCCTTACCAGTACAACTTTCCATAAGAGCAGCAGAACCTTCTTCATGGGAAAGTGGGGCGCACTTCCACTGCAGAACTTTGTTACCATGGCAAACAGAGTAATTGGAAGACTGTCATCACCAATAAGAGGCTGGTCTGAAATCAATGGATACAAGCAGTTGTCACTAAGGTGACATAATCCCCCGCCACAAATTACCAAATCAAACCTGAAAAGTAATGAAAGTGAAGGTCGTAGTTTAAGATGAAGTTAAATGTCAACAAAAACATGACGAGTCAACCTCTCTTGATGTCATGCTCTGTACCTGTTCAAACACACAAATGCTCACTTTGACCCTGACATGAATGTCATGCTGTATGAAGTATTAAAAAAATAGTAATAAAGAAATTGCGTATCAAAAAAACATTCAAGTGAAGTCTTGAAGGTCTATGAGGAAAATCCAGTGAACTGTTCTTGAGATATCCTGCTGTCAATCTGAACATGCAGGTTAACTCAAATCTTTAAAGTGTCGCTGTGACCTTGAAATTACGAGAAGGTCACCAAAATAGACTGGGCCCTGCACCATCCCTATATAAAGCTTGGTGTCGAATATGAAGAAAATCCAGTGAACAGTTCTTGAGATATCCCGCTGACAGGGGTAAAATGTTCTAGTCCCCTTGTGACCTTGAAATGAAGGTCAAGGTCACAAAACCTGACTGGGACCTTTCACATACTGTGATGAACCTATGTACCAAGTATGAAAAGAATCTAGTCAACACTTCTTAAGATATTCCAATTCGTATATACATACATTCGGACGGAGCCTAATACTAAATCCCCTGCTTCGCGGGCATAATAATTCACTCCAACATGACAATACTACACATATCTGATGGAAGTCCATTACAATGAAAATTGTTATGTTTGGGATGATGAGAATATTTTCTCTGGTAGATCTATTATCTACTTGAACTTGAAGTGCTTTTTTAAATTGAAACACAAATAGAAGTGAGTATTATAATTACTCATATTCCTGTATATATCCCCCTGATACTCCCTACCATTCACCTAATGACAGACAAACATACACTCCGAAACGTCATGTTATACACAATGAAGAAGAAGAAGTTGCCATCTATAAATCCTGCTTTTCTTACCCATATTCCTGACAACCGACAATGATAACTGAAACACTACTGGTGACAAATGACTCCTTAGTCATCTGTAAGTAAGGGGCCTGTGTGTAGCTACAGTATTGTGACTTACTGATGTCAGTGAGAAACGCCTCTCTGATCTCCCTCTCCTCCTCCACTTCATCTTCTGTCGGTGTTCTCATCGTCTCCACCACAGTGTACAACACATTCAGGATACATCTAAACAAAAGTAGCAATCACCCTGAGCATTGACCACAAGACATTTACTGGGTGCATGCATATATTAATGTAAATACATGGGAACATGAAGAAAGGGTTCATGCATTGCTTTCATATCAGTACAGGTACTAGTCCCTTATAATTGCTTATCAAGATAGTGCACTGAAAGAATAAGAAAGTTGCCATTGATTCACTGATTCTGCAAGTCCATATTTAAATGCCACAAGATGGAACATGTCATAAAACCAAATTATATAATATTTTCCGTACACCAAATACACTGACAGGTGTCAGTGAAGTATTTCATTGTATCAAGATTAGTTCTGTCAGTCATGAAGAATGACGAATGACAGGTTTACCTGAGTTCCTTGCTATCTGCAACAGATACTGCAGGCTTCCTCATGGCAGAAGATGCTGCGGAGCTGTTGCTGAAAGTCAGATAAATCAAACATGTAGGTCAAAACATTACATCAAAACACTTGCAAACCTTTACTGAAGTAGGAGAAGATCTACCATCACTTGTAGTGTTAGAAAATCTGGTATAGCCGAGAAACATAATTTCTTTGAAAATGATTACCAGTTAATTTATATGGCTTCATTACAATCTTATTTCATAACTTCAATATTTTCTCAATATCATTTATTAATTTCTACTACTCTCTGAAACACTGTTAAAGGAAACAACACTCACTCTATTTCCATGGCCAGCAGCTCAACAAAGGAAACAAACAAGCCTTGGTCATATAACAGGTAAACATTCTTCCTGGCCCAGACCTCCTGGTGATCCTCTGACTCACACTCCCCAAACACACCTGCAAGACATCATCATACACAGTGGTCTACATTGTTTAAAGGTCACATGCAACGCCCACAGCACATGCGCAGTTATTAGGTTCGCGCGGCTTGAACCGGGAAGGCGACTCGTAAAAACACAGCAAGTGATGCATGCAAGGATTATCGGTGTGGTCGAAGTTGGAGAACATAAGACGTTTCTTGTGATTACAAGCATCTTTGGTCTGCAGTAATAAAAATACACTGGTCCCATACTTTTTCTTATATGTTTTCACATCTTGCTTTGGGTTTGTTTTTGGTTTTTTGTTGTTTTTGTTTGTTTTTGTTTGTTTGTTTGGTTTGGTTTTGTTGTTGTTTTTTTGGGGAAAGAGATTTGCATACCAGGTTTTCAAGAAAGTGTAGCAATAATAGTAGCATTAGAAATACTAATTTCTTTGTTAAAAATTGCTCAGCTTGAAAACTTAAATGTTTTAATACATGTCTATGGAAACATACAAAAATATGTTGATTGTGATAAGCAGTCTCTGTCACAGACAAAACTCAATGTCTGTTTTATTAACACCTATGTGTCTGCCTGCCTGTCTGCTAATGACAACATGCAGTACACAACTTCAATCATTGACCACATGCAATTTGAACATGAAATGTATAAGGCTATACACCATAAACAAAATACATTGATTTCTGGCTCTTGCACCTGAGTTCTGTCTCTGTCACATTATGTAATTTTTTAAGTAAAATTGATATTTTATACTTATCCTGACTCATGATCTTTTGCTTATCTCCCTTCCCTATGCGAATGGTAGTGGAACACTTGAATCCTTTGAAGTTCCCAAAGCGGACGTAAAAGTACACTCACCCACGAGTTGCCTCCCTCTTGCCCTTTCCCGCGCAAACAGTCATGTGACCAGCCTTACTTGTCACTCTCTCCTGATTTTTCTGCCCATGCACTTGGATCTACTGTGAAATCCGAAGTGTTTCCAGCGGGGAGGTTGGGAGGGCTTGACCTCATGAGTCTGGATAAGTATAAACTATCAATTTTACTTAAAAAATTACATATTTTTCCGTATCCTGACTCATGATCTTTTGCTTATAGAATCCTTCGGATTGGTGTAGGGTCAAGCCACTTCCTGGATTCATCAGCTGTCCTTAGATACGTCCTGTCCTTAGATAACGGCATTTCCGAGATCCTATTCTTCCAACTTCCGTTATAACTCAGGGGGACCACTTTCTTGTCTTACTTCAATCTCAGACAAGTTGAATAAATCTTGATTCATGTGGCTTAAGATATACTAGTATCTTCTTTTTTACTAGATATCTATAACAAACCATAGATTATAATAAGATCTTTATCATAAATGAGTTGCGACCCCTTAATGTACAGGTAAGATCTTTACCTGTACAGGGTCTTAATCACTCATGCTAGTCTGCCCTAGACTGTGCACATCGACTTTCAAACTAATACTTTTCCTTAGTAAAAGTTCAACGTGAAAAAGGGTGAGATTTCCAACTCAGCGCCTTTGTGGAACCGTTAGTTGCTGTGCTACAACGAGAGGCCCAAACTGGTGAATGCCGGAGACGTCTTCAGTGGCTGTCTCGGAGGTAGTGGTTGGCAAACACCGTGTCCGACTTCCAAAGGCAGCCCTCCATAATTGCTGATATAGAGCAATTTCCATGCAGAACTAGTGTTGACACCAGTGCTCTGACTTCGTGTGGGTTGGAAGCTCTTGGAGGTTCTAGTCCTGCTGCTCTATAGGCTCTCAATATGACGGCTTTCATCCAGAACGATATTGTCGATCTTGAGACATCTGCTGATGTCTCTGTAGATAACGGGATGAACAAGCGCTTGAATTTTCGTCTCCATGTTTCAGTCTTTTGAAGATATATCTTCAGGGCTCTGACCGGACACAAGGATAGGTCCTGCGTATCCTCTGGTCCGAGGATTGTGGATAGCGCTGGTACGTGGAACTGTCTATCTGGTTGACCAGGTAGTTGGTTCTTGGCAGTAAAGTCCCTTCTACTAGTAAGTCCTAGATGTACTGCAGCATGTTGCCCAGCGTTGAATCTAGTTCGACCAAAGTCCAGCGCATGTATCTCCGACATTCGAGCTGCCGTGGCTAGTGCAAGCAGGAACAGCGTCTTCTGTGTAAGTAGCTCGAAGGTAGTCTGATCTAGAGGTTCGTAGGCATCACTCATGAGATGACGTAGAATTACATTCAGATCCCAGGCCGGAGCTCTGAATTTCTTTTGTTGGTCCTCCAGTTTAAAAGATCTCAGCAGAGCATGTAATTCTGGTACTTTCGTCAACTTGATGCCTGTTTTCATGGTAATCACTGTACTGATGGCAGCCAGATACGTGGATAATGTCGAACCTTTCAGATGTCTAGTATGTTTAAGATGACATAGGTATTCCGCCACTTGAGGATAAGTAGCTTTCATAGCAATGAAGCCTTTCCACCATGCATATGTCTCAAACTTCTGCCACTTGTCATCAAACAGGTTACAAGTGGATCTGCGTAACGCTAAGGTTACTGCCTTGGCTGCTCTGGCGGAGTATCCTCTTTTCTCCAAACATGTTTTGATACGGTCCACACGTGTAGCGGGAATAGTGCTGGGTTCCCGTGGACTTGCTTGGTGTGCGGATGTATGAGTAGGTTTCGGCCATTCTGGTAACTTGAGTGTTGGACTTTCGAGATCTTCTATTAAGTCTAGGAACCATCCTCTCGCTGGCCAATAGGGCGCGACCAAAGTTAGTTGTAGCGCCTGCGTCTGTTTGATCTTCAACAGTACTTTCGGTAGTAATATCGGGGGTGGAAACGCGTGAGCGTTTAGTCCTTCCCATGATATGCTCAGTGCATCTGTTGCCCAGGCTTGAGGATCTGGAACTGGTGAGACAAACATCTGTAGTTGTTTGTTGAACCTTGTGGCAAACAGGTCTATGCATGGGGATCCTATTTCCCTTATGATGAGCCGAAATGCTTCTGGATGGAGCATCCATTCCGTAGGTGACGGGTGCAGTGGTCGGGAGAGAGCGTCTGCAAGCACGTTCTTGGCTCCGGGTATGTGATACACCTTTATCCAGATGTTTGCTTCCTCTGTGATGTCGAACAACTGGAATGTGAGCTGTAGAAGGCTGGGAGACCTTGTAGATCCTTGCCGATTTATGGAGAATGCCACTGTAGAGTTGTCCGTGTGGATCATCAGCATTCTGTTGCTCAGCGAGCTCAACCATAGTTGTAAGGCATTGATCACGGCTTTCATCTCCAGCAGATTGATGTGAAGATGCTGCTCTGTTTTGGACCACCTCCCTGATGCAACTTGATTGTTGAGATGCGCACCCCAGCCTTGTATCGATGCATCTAAGTAGAGATGTGTGTCAAAGGCCGGCTCTTGTAAATAGGTCCCTCCGCAGACATTCGACCTGTGAGTCCACCAAAGTAGGTTCCTCTTGAGATTGTCTGGCAGCAAGATAGGGTCGACGCTGTCGAGAGGTTTTGTCATGAACCGTTGCAGCGGTCTTAGTTGTAACCTTCCTGTGCGAGACAAGTCCTGCGCCGAGGTTAGTAGACCGAGTAGACATTGCCATGTTCGTAGTGTTAATGGAAAGATGACTGCTTGAGGAAATAATGGCTTGTATCTTGACCCAACGATCTACTTGGACGACAATACAATTCTGTGTTGTGATAAATCTTATCCCCAGAAATTGAAGATCTTGTTTTGGTTCCAACTCTGACTTCATAAGGTTCACCAGCCATCCTAGTTGAGTGAGCAACTTGATTGTAAAGTTCAGCTGTGGCACTTTGGTGAACCTGAATGCCGTCGTCCAGGTAAAAGGCATTGTGTAGACCTCGATGATGTAGGTATGCGACTATAGGCTTGGTTACTCATGTGAATAGCCACGGAGACGACGATATTCCAAACAGTAACACGTTCAATTGGAAGTGTTGCCCTCTAAATAGGAATTGCAGATACTTTCTTGATTCCTGATGTATGGGGATGTGTAGATATGCATCCTGAAGGTCTATGCTGGCCATGTAATCTGCTGGACGGACGAGTAGTCTGAGTTGAGGTAGGTGGATCATTCTGAACCTGTCTGGTTTCAGTAGATAGTCTTTGCTGAATTTGCGCATGTTGTAAATCAGCCTGAACTTCTCTTTGGAGTTCTTCTTGGGTACTAGAAAAATTGGGGAGTAGAAGCCTGGCGTGAGATGATGTTGACCTATTTTCTCTACCGCATCCTTCATAAGAAGTGAGTTGATGGCTTCTTGTAACTTGTCTGCATGGTCATCGAAGACCATCGGGCTGAGAGTTAATGGTGGTGTGGCCTTGAGATGCACTCTGTATCCTTCTCGCAGTACTTGTGAGACGTAGTCGTCCTCTAGTATTCCCCAATTTTTCCAGTACCTTTGTAGACTTCCACCCACTGTCGATGGTTTTACAGGAACGGCTAGGGGTGGAAGACTGCAGTCGTTCCGAACCCCAATATCAACGTCTAGTTCCTCTGGATCCTCTGGGAGTGCGGCTTCTCCCTGAGTTCCCTCTGTAATTTCCGGATGGGCGACGAAAGGAACCTTTCCCGCCTCTGAAGCTGGAGTAGTTCTTCTCCTTAGCCTTCTGGATGCCGGAATATTTCGACTTGCTGTTGTACTTCTGGGAAGTATGACGAATGACGTTGGCTAGAGTATCTATAGACTTTATCATCATGACTTCTCTTGAATCACGAGTAGCTTCCTTAGCTGTATCATCTATCTCGCCTCCGAAGATAGTAGGCGCCTCCCACGGAGCTCTAAGCATTGGCTGGGTGAATCTGTCACTCCACGAACAAGATGCCAGTAGACCCTGTCTGCGTAGCAAAGTGAGACCTGCTGATATTGATGCCAGATGGTCCGATAAAAAGTATTGGTCCTTCTTCTGAGTGAGCAGAGCTGATAGTATCATTCTATCTTCTTCCCAACTGGGGTTCTGGAACTTGTTAATCAATGCTTCATTGATTGCTGTAGATCTGGCTAAGCTGAAGAAGGATCTCCTTGTAGCAGTATCAAGTTGGGATAACTTATTATCTTCCACTTTGTATATCTTGTTCCGAGAGTCGTTGACTAACTTCATGTTAGCATCTAATTCCGACGCCTTCATAAGGGGATCCATGTGATGTAAAGGGAATTTCTTCACATTAAAGGATGGCAGATGCTGATTCTGGAACTTGGTAGCTTTCTCGAAAGCTGTGGGTAGGTTGGAAGGTACCTTGGATATAGGTTCAATCGGAGAGATAGTCACCGAGTCAAAGTCGTCATTGCACATCTTATATGTGTAGACTTCATCCACATCCTTAGGAGACTCCAAGTTCAATCCATTGGCTATCCAAGCTGTCACCTCTGAGTCCGGGAAGACGAAGTCTGCTTGTTCATCAGATATATCTCTGTCCGTAGAACTATGCCTCAGCTAATCATCCTTCTGTGAACCTGTATCCCTAGAGTCATCCCTTCTCGAACCTCCATCTCTTGCATCATCCTTTCGCGAACCACTATCTCTAGATTCCTCCCTTCGCGAACATCTGTCTTGAGAGTCCTCTCTTCGCGGACCTCTGTCTCTAGATACATCTCTTCACGAACCTCTGTCTCATGAGTCTTCTCTTCGCGAACCTCTGTCTCATGATAACTCTGTTCGCAAACATCTAATTCGAGATCCATCCCTACGAGTTGAATCCTGCCTCCGCAAACTTGGTTCTCGCGAACGTCTGTGAGAGATATGAGATCTCGATCTAGAGCGACTTGGTGTTGGAGATGGATCCTTAGGTGTTCTCGAATGTTGAGGGTTCACAGATGTAGATGTCGAAGTGTGAGTAGACTTCTCATGCCTTCTATCTTCCTCCATGATGACAGAATGTAGAGACCTTCGCAAAGGTGTACGTTCGCCAACCTAGTCTTGTGACGTAGATCTATGAGGAGTAGGTTCGCACAGGTCCGAGGGTTTGCGCACGTTGTCAGCAGATGAGAGGTTCCGTCGAGCCTTCGCCTCTTCCTCGAACCTACGTTCCATCATCTGGTTGGTGAATTGCCTCATGAATTCACCTGGATCAAAGTTCTGCGTTGATTGAAGCTGCTGCGGTGTAGATGAAGCGTCGCGAACGCTGATGAGTTGTGTGCCTCAACTTCACTCCTTTGAGAAGTTGGTGGTTGGTCGTCAAACAGCTGGCCTGCTGTAGCAGTTGCAGGAGACGATCTAGAAGTCGAGGAAGTCGATTGAGTCGCCGATCTAGCAGGTACTTCAGGTAGAAGTAACGGAGGTTCACCAAATACGTCTACTTCATGAGGAATGGCATTGGGGGTGAGGATCAGCTACGGATAACCTGTGCCTGCAAACACTGCAAGAGTTCATGAAATGTAAACAAGTTACATTGCGATGAAAATATGACACAAATACGAATAATTTCTTCAATTTTTTTAACATACAATATAAAGTAATTATAGCCAAATCCATACTCAGCGTAATTTCAAAGAATAGGATCTAAATAATGGGCAGAAAAATCAGGAGAGAGTGACAAGTAAGGCTGGTCACATGACTGTTTGCGCAGGAAAGGGCAAAAGGGAGGTAACTCATGGGTGAGTGTACTTTTAATCCGCTTTGGGAACTTCAAAGGATTCAAGTGTTCCACTACCATTCGCATAGGAAAGGGAGATAAGCAAAAGATCATGAGTCAGGATAAGGAAAAATATGTAATTAAACAGACAGGCAGGTGTGATACTTGTTCACATGACATGTTATTAGTTATTATGTCTGTTGGTTGTAAACAAACAGCATCCATTTTTCTCGGATGACTGGATCGGACGGAAACCCGTGCAAACTCGGATTGTCAGTTTCAAGTCCTGCTTTGTACTTGAACGAATGACAGTTTCCAGCCATGCAATAGTTCACCATCTCAGTATTTGTTGATTGGATCGAACGCAAATGCAGAAAAAATGAGCATGTATATACAAAACCCAACATCTCTATACACACACACACACACAATGAGCCCTCGGCGTAACGGCAAAAGAACCAGTCAATGAAAATTTTCGTTACACTTGAGTGCACACCCACCCGCTCTGACTGGGTTCAGTCACCCGGGTGCTTTGTTTCGAGGGAAGTAAACCCAAATACCAAAAATTGCACTTTTGCTTTGCGATTGTATGCTTATAATTTTGTTTATTTGTTTTTTCATAATCAGCAAATGTATATTATATGTCATGAATAAGTGATAATTGTGTTTTAATCATGTTTGTTTTTTTGGTTGCATGTGACCTTTAACAATCCAGTACACTGCAGGACATGGGGATTCACACTCAATACAGTATGCAGCTAATTGCTTTTAAATGGTTAATGGTTCCCTGAAACTAAAACACCACTTAAAGATTTTGAAAAAGTTAAAAGTGGAAATAACATGATGTGAAAATCTTCAAATACATACACCACTGACTGCAAAGATCTATGTCAACACAAACTATCCATACAATTGGGTAAACAACAATACCTTAATAGACTAATTCTACTGAAATACTTGACTCTGATTACCCGGTAGTCAATTAGAAATCTACACAGATGTTTATAAAAGATATACTTCTGCTTCAGTCATATATTCCATTTGAATTTTTACAACAATTGATTTTGCTAAATGAGTATGGTTATTTCGTTGCTTTTAGCAATATTAAGGCAATATCAAGGTGGGGGAGCACCACTTATTAGCTTTACACATCGATTCGCACCATGTGGGAATGGAACTAAAGTCCTGTCGGAAATAGAAAAAAACAATTTATGTAGATAATATGTGAAACATTTGTTAAACTAAACTCGGCCTAACTATAGTCTCAGTGGGAGGGAGATAGGAAACGTAAAAATTGGACTTTACTGAGGAGAGATTAGGGCAGAAATGAGCAATGCGATTTTTTTCTAAGTCCAAATTGACTTATTTGGAACAAACCATGGCTTTATGCAAATTAGAGGGTGATGATATTGTATTACAAAGGACTCTTTTTAAATACGCATTTTGAAATTAGACTTAGCTTCATTATAAACGATAGCTAACTTAAAAAAATAATAACTTTAACACTGAAACTATTAAGAATGTAGCTACCAGTACCATGGAGTCTCACTATCACTATAAAAAGAAACAGGTAGGAGGGGTCGTCTCAAAAGCAAAACTAGGACGGGTGTCGAAGACGGCGGTTTGGGGTCGGGCTGGGGTATAGAGATATCAGCTAAGATAAGATGATCCTTCAGGGGAATTAAACTGGGAAGTAAACGCCATGCAATAACAATTTACAAATAATATCCAGTCCTGTCGATCTTCGGGTGGTCATGCCACCTATATATTTTGAGACAATTAATGAGACGATGACTGATTATGCTTTTCTACGGGTATCATACTCTGTTACATATCTGAACATAAACCTTATTAAAGAAATACACATAAGATGTTAATCAATAGATCAACATGTTCAACACACAAGAAAAGGCAACAAATATCTTTGAGATGACCCCTTGTGCCTGTAGGCAGCACGTGCATTTCATGCCAGGTGAGTCGATGGTACGTCGTCATACCTGGCTGAGCGACCTAATTGTCATCTATAGTCTGATCTATTGTTTTCAGCAGCTATTAGTTTTTTTTCTAAGTTTTGCCCGATTTTACGAGTAAACATGCTTTTCTGTATATCCTATTACGCATCCCACTGAACGCCCAGTTAGGCCGATGTGGGTTATTTCGACAAATGCTATTTGCAATTGTGTAAATTTTAAGGATACAGAGTAATAGCCTAAACACAGTTTTTTTTCTATTTCCGACAGTACTTTAGTGTCTTTGGCTTACCTCAACACCCCAAATGGATTAGAACAATCATGGAAAAGCATGATAATAGATTTCAACCAGTCAATCACAACATTGCCGGTAATAGATATCAGGTAGACATAATGTACCTTCATTTCTAGTATGTACCTATTAGGACACTCTTACCTTGAGCAAGGTACAGGGTTGCTTGTATTGCTTTGAGACGCCGGTGTCGGTCAGCAACCTCCAGCTCATTTTGTAGATAAACTGTGAACCTTCTCCTTATATTTTCAGGGGCTGTTGTCCACTTTTCCAAGCCATGTTTGTTGCACAGCTCTTCAAAGTTCTCCTGATTCTGTGGGTATTCTGGCTCCTCTGTGTAACTGTATAACTCTAAAAGAAAATCAACCATGCACAGTAAAAATTATAGTCTCTAACACAGTGTTTCAGATTGCCAGGGGGACCATGTAATTGCCCTGAAAAAACACAAGCGGTCCACTACGTCCTTCTCTCAGGACATACCGATTTCTGACCTCATATTTTCTAACAACGGGTGGAATAAGAGAGGACCTTGGGGCTCCTGCTACAATATTTGAATGTGGGAATTCTGTCATTTTTGACATGTGAGTTATTAGTTACAAGGTCCCATATACATCCATTCTTAATTTTGGCAGAAACTGGAAACTGAAACCAAATGATTACATACCTGATATTTCAGCACTGTACTTATCAGCATCACTGTAGGAGAATTCAATGTCAGGAACCTCTGTCATTGTCTGAAAGTTGTCACATTATCATCATGATCATAATGAATTTAAACTGACATGCAGATTTCATTCTAATTAACAAGAATAGTTATGCCTCTATTTCAGCAAAATGAATGCAAATTTTCCCCAGGATTTTAGACAAATGGTTTATCATGCATAAACTAAAAAATAGCACATCCTTGTCTTGAGGCAACCAAGCATAATCCCACCTCTCTCTGTTTTAGTAAACACAATTCAATTATGGCGGATGGCTTTGATTATTGCATGTCTATGGGTTGTGAAAACTTTGTGATGGATACCATCACTCAGGCATTGACAGTTCCAACCAATGCAACACTAACAGGAGTAATAATTCGCATGAGTTAATGAATTGTCTGGAAATAGTTCTTTACGTAACCCCCGCCTATTTTTGTGATGAGCAAACACTATAGTTTGGTCTATAGTTTATAGCTGAAAATTAGGTGGGGGTACGTAAGGAACTCTTACCGGGGTCTGAATGTTTTTCCATTCTGATCACTGTATTTGACATTCAACGGATCTGTCGTGTTTTGACAGAAGTCTCGAAAGGATACGTCACGTATGGTCATTAAATATGCTTGATAAAGATGGACAATGTGCAGAATAAATGTATGTAAATAAGAAATACCTCAGAATCTCTCCGCTGTCGCCGCAACAGCTCTCTCAACTTTGGCACTCCAGTTCTTTTCCCTGCCAAGCCCACCTCCATCTTTGGATGGTGTCGCTCAAATCAAGGGGAAACAACTCATGTACTTTGTAAGTGGCTCACCACTAAAGACGGACAGTTAAAGGCAGTGTGTGTTGTAAATCAATATCATTGCAATGGTATCTTGGCTTCAATACGATTATACAATAAACTACACAAAGTTTGTGGTTTGTTTAGATATATGATTTTAAAAAGAAAGGTAGATCAATGTTTTTTCTTCTTCAAACAAGAATACAAAATGTTGAACATATATCCAGACATCTTTGACAAACATTTTATGTTTGAATGTCAGAGCGAAAAAAAGAGAAAAAAACCCAAAGAAATTATCAAAGATTTTAGAAAAACTAAGTCAACAATAAATGCTGTAAGTATTGAAGATAACGAGATAGAAAGATTAACTGAATACAACTATTTGGGTACTGTCTTAGATTCCAAACTCTCCTGGAATAAAAACACTGAGAACATGTAGAAGAAGGGACAGCAAGGTTTGCATTTGTTGTGGAAGTTCAAACATTTTAAAATTGACCAAACTATCATGATGTTATTTTACGGAACCTTTATTCAAAGTGTCATAACATTTAATTTCTTGAGTTGGTTCTGAAACCTGTCTGTTCTGAATAAAAACAAACTCTCAAAAACACTGTTGCTAAATTATTGGGCTTCTTATCGAAAGTATCATCAGTTATTATGAGAATCAAATATCCAAAAAGGCAAACCAAATTTCCCTTGGGATAATAAAGGAATTATCTTATCTTATTTAAATAGAACCCCAGCGACACCCAAAACATTACAAAACTGATACATTGTCTATGTTTCATTACTATAAGTAATACATAATGTACATGGTATATTAGGATTTGAACGGGGAACTCCTGCCTAGTATTCGAGCTGCAGATAGCAGCATGTTCATCATTTGGAACAATGAGAAACTGTAATAAAAATAGGCATTGTGCATTGATTGACTCCATGAAGAATATTAACTGAAATAGTAAATTTATTAAAGCAACTTCACTAACTTGTAGCCGATAAGTTTTTGTTTGTTGTTAAATGCCACACACAGCAATATTCCAGCTGTAAATAATCGAGCCTGGACCAGACAATCCAGTGATCAACTGCATGAGCATTGATATAGGCAACTGGGATATGGTAACATTCATCAAAAAGCCTGACTAACAAAAATGTTATCCAAAGTGCTGTAACCAGCTCTAAATTCTGCTTGTGATTCTGGCAGCTGTTCATACAAAGAACAAAACGGTGTTAATCTCTTATTCAAAATAGATGTAAATACCTTACTCATAATGTCAGTAAGTGTTATGCCTCTATAAGTATTAACTTCTGAGGCTTTTCCTCTTTTGTGTAATGGTACCACTAATGCCTTTGTCCATTCCACGGGAAATATACCACTAGTAAGTATAGCATTAAACAACACGTGAAAGTAAGAGTTCAGATTTACAACATTTAATCATCTCAGGTGTAACTGCATCAGGTCTTGGTGCCTTCCCAACACTGAGATTGTTCAAAACCATGACGAATTTAAACATTTGATATTTCACTGTTTAATAAGTAGTAACGTCATGATCATTACAAGCCCTACAAGTTCTTTCACAAACTGATCAGCTTTACTGAGATGTTTTTGATCAATGTCCTGGTACTTATGGTATTGAAATCAGTTCTAAAATATGCCACCCATTCAGTCGCTGATATAGAGTTTGATGTGCTGCTTTTTTGTTTTGTCAGTTGTTTAATATGACTCCAAAATGCTCTGGATTTACAACAGCTGCTAGACACCATGTTCCTCCTCGTCTCGTTCTTTCTTCTGACGACATAGATGACGATACGAGTTTCTTAAAAAACGAAATTCAGTCCAACATAAAGAGATGCCAGTTTTCCTAAACATGTCCAAGTTTGAATATTTAAGGTGTTTCAAGAACCTACACTCCTCGTCTGACCAGCCAGCACTACGAGGTTGAGAGGACAAACCCCCATGGACTCTCACACCACAATGTTCTGCACTACGGCTTATATACAGGAAGTTAGTTTGGAGACAGGGTCGTCTACACTCCTTAGAACATCGCTTGTGAAGTCATGGTCACCAGTTCACATGTGAGACTACCCGAATAACCGTTTATCTTTTCATCTTTCCATTTAACAGGAATTTCTTCATTGTCATTCACGTCAACTTTGTCACGTGGTGTTTCCGTTTGAGAGGTTAATACAATCGGCAGATGGTCCGATTCACATCGGGTGATAGTCTGATAGTCATGATCTATATCAAACAGATCCGCGGAACATAGGCAATAATTCAAAAAGGCTGGTGCCACCAGCAATAAAACATGACATATCACCATTAGGATCAGATTCACATCGGCCATTCAGCATGTGAACATTGAACGAGCAACAGAGGTCTACCACATCTGTACCATAAGAATTCACAATGTTATCTTTGCTTTTCCTAGGTGTTTGAAAACTATCAGAGATGCATTCCGTATACAGAGATGTATATACGAAAATCGGTATGTATTTATCATCGTCGCATAGAATATAGTCTCTCAGGTTCCCAGTCCTCGCATTCAGATCACCCATGATGATATACAGAGTGTCCTAAATATCAATGTCGGATTTCAAATAATCCAATCCTTTCAACAATCCTGAATCACTCATTATAGATGAATTTTACTGGATAAATGTAAACACAACCAAATAAAATGTTACATACAGTGTTTGCCTTTAACCTTAAAAGCTGCAGGCCCTAAGGACCCTGATCAGAATGTGTAGGCCCTATATTTTAATATGGAAATAATACTCTTAGTTATTGGGGAAACAAAAGCTGTGGGTCCTAGTGGTTTTTAGTCGGCTTCGGGCTTAAGGACGGACGTTAATTGTGAAGGTTGGTTACACCTGTGACCGGGTGTAAAAACCTTGGAGTCAACTTTGTGTGCAGACTCTTTCAGTGTTGTCACAACCCCTAGTGTACAGTACACAACCATGTGCACTTAAAGAACCCACGAATCCGTTGGTATATGACCAGATGGTGGCCACATGAATACGTGCAAACACCCAGTTGCGGGTACAGCAACGTGCAGTGAACATGGACAAAGTACTGTGACTATGTGTCCCAGTCCACCCAGCTGTGAATGGGTACCTCGTAAGGATGGGAATGCCACAATACCTCGGTGCGCCTAGTGGCTGCAAGAGTTGTATGCTCCCAAGGGAGTTGAGGTTGACAATACGATGTGCCGTTGAGATTGACATCCAGTGAACGAGGGAAAAACAAAGCGCCTTTGAGCAGCTGAGCTGAGCTGGATATCGGCGCTATACAAATGTTAGTATGTATGTATGTATGTATGTATGTATGTATGTCTCTGTGTGTGTGTGTGTGTGTGTGTGTGTGTGTGTGTGTGTGTGTGTGTGTATGTATGTATGTATGTATGTATGTATGTATGTATGTATGTATGTACATATTGTCGGACACTTTCTCATTGCTTGAACCACATGTGCCAGTTCTCCGCCCGACTGTTGTTTTGAAAATGTTGTGCTACTAGTATAGAAGACAAACATGGTGACACGGCTTAGCTGAACCTGCTCAGTATTTCCTGTTCTGCGAACACAAACTAAATCCTGCAATAAGCTGCCGCTGTCTGAGACTTTTGGGTTTCGGTAAAAATTTCAAGATGGTGTAAATGGCACCACGGTAATATGCTGCGATAAACAAAACAAACAAAACAAAACAAAAACCCCAAAGAATTACCCTTGTCATATCTGCTGACGATCATTTGCACAGATTGTTCACGACCTTCACAAACAAAGAAATTAACATTTATCATTGTTCACGTTTTGAATCTGTAAATGCTAAGGTATACTGGTAAACTTGTATTCATCGCCCCGGTTGGGTTTCTACGTTTGTCAGCACGGTACCGTACTCGCGGGTTTCACCTAAATAGTAAACCTCCGAGAGCTGCCTCACTTCCGATGCACCGGATGTCATTCGTTCATTGTTCCCATATGCCGTGATATAATTGGAATACTGTTCAGATCGGTGTTAAACCCAAATTACTCACTCACACATCATTCATTCATTTTGGTGAGGCTGATGTGCTAATGGATCCTTGACTCCTGAATCCACATAGATTGAAGAAGGGTGTCCTGAACTCCAATCCAAACTGGCATCAACAGAAAGTGGATAATCGACAGATATCAGATCAGTTCGAAATGGTTAATAGCACCGACTCATATGTTTTGAACACACAAGGATTTAGATATGAACATTATGCTTGAATTGGAGGATGGTGTTTTTACGGATCCTACTCTAATCTCTGCCACAACCAATGCTGAGAAGCCTGATGTAGTGCCATGTTGTAGTCATTTCCGGAAGCTTATCGTCTCATGTTGCTGGTGTATTTAAAAGTCAACTAATAAAAAGACAAACTGATGAACTTGATAATATAACAAGTTTATTATATATTTACAATCACACTGTAAGCAGTGGAATAGTCATTTGTTGGAATAACTTACAATGTGATATGAAGTAGCTACTGGATATGTTAACATCACATTAAGTACACCAATGGCAGACCGAATAGTTCACAGACAAAGTTCTGGTACACTAACACCTGACCCAAGTCATGGAACAGCCATATTGCATTTGAATCTGGAGATGAGGTGAACAGTTCATGTCCCACCATACATTTGTGTATGGTTATCATATGAGCCAGACACATCACTGCATCCTCAGTGCACGCTGCTGCAGCAATAGCCAGACTCATCCCTGCATTCTCAGGACACGCTGCAGCAGCAATAGCCAGGTGCATCTCTGCATCCTCAGTACACGCTGCTGCAGCAATAGCCAGATGCATCTCTGCATCCTCAGTACACGCTGCTGCAGCAATAGTCAGGTGCATCACAGCATCCTCAGTACACGCTGCTGCGCAGCAATAGTCAGGTGCATCACAGCATCCTCAGTACACGCTGCTGCAGCAATAGTCAGGTGCATCACAGCATCCTCAGTACACGCTGCTGCAGCAATAGTCAGGTGCATCACTGCATCCTCAGTACACGCTGCTGCAGCAATAGTCAGGTGCATCTCTGCATCCTCAGTACACGCTGCTGCAGCAATAGTCAGGTGCATCTCTGCATCCTCAGTACAGCATCACAGCTACAATAGCTGCAGCAATAGTGCATCACAGCATCCTCAGTACACGCTGCTGCAGCAATAGTCAGGTGCATCACAGCATCCTCAGTACACGCTGCTGCAGCAATAGTCAGGTGCATCTCTGCATCCTCAGTACACGCTGCTGCAGCAATAGTCAGGTGCATCACAGCATCCTCAGTACACGCTGCTGCAGCAATAGTCAGGTGCATCACTGCATCCTCAGTACACGCTGCCGCAGCAATAGTCAGGTGCATCACTGCATCCTCAGTACATGCTACCACAGCAATAGTCAGGTGGATCTCTGCATCCTCAGTACAATCTGCTGCAGCAATAGCCAGATGCATCTCTGCATCCTCAGTACATGCTGCAGCAGCAATAGCCAGACTCATCACTGCATCCTCAGTACATGCTGCAGCAGCAATAGCCAGACTCATCAATGCATCCTAAGTACATGCTGCAGCAGTAACAGCCAGACTCATCAATGCATCCTCAGTACATGCTGCTGTAGCAATAGCCAGCCTCATCCCTGCATCCTCAGTACATGCTGCAGCAGTAATAGCCAGACTCATCACTGCATCCTCAGTACATGCTGCTACAGCAATAGTCAGGTGCATCCCAGCAATAAACCACAAGACCATTGTTGAAAGACTTCTGCCTACCCCAGCCTCATGCTGTTATCATACATCATCCAGGTAGCATGTGTAGGAGCCAAACTTGGAAGTCTGACTTGCTTTCAACTTGTAAATGGAAATCAAGCAGGCTGAACACATTTTACCATCACAAACTGAAAGAAAGCAATTTGACATATCAAATGTATTGAGTAATGTACCAGTCAGTGAGCCAAATGATTTGAGGAGTTTAACATGCATATTGTTCAAGGCGGATCATCAGAAACAGGATGCAAGATTCTAAATGTCATCGCATAATATTCATTCACTTGTCTCAACATTATTCTTGGATCTTCCTAAAATGATATTATCTTTTTAAAACAAATACAACACTTGCAGTGACATCTGAAACTCACCACTGTCCTTAGCCCATCTTGTTATCATATTTATCCCAGTATGGGTAACCTCACTGTAATGTGATCCCTTAGCAAAACATCTAGGGGGGATATGGCCCTTGAATGGTGATATTACATGTAAATCTTCAATAACTAGGAGATCAAAATCTTAAAAACAAGACACTTATAGGTGGGAAATGAACAAAGACGTGCAGCAGAGACAGGACATAAATGCTGAAAAGTGTGGTTCTACTGACTACTGTAAATCAAGAAATTAATGCGTCACGAATTTAATGCGAGTGCAAGGGATATAGTCTAAAATGCGTCACGAAATTAATGCGAGCTTAGGAATCTTGTGTTGATGATAAAATGTGACACCCGAATCTTTGGTGTAGTTCTTTTTCTTTTCACACTTGTTATTTACCAAATAACCTGAATTGAGCTTGTTAAGCAATGAATAGAAATGAGCTGACGATGTTTTGATTACGCTGCCAGTTTGATCAAGTGATTGCTTACTACTATTTGTCTTATAAACGTAATCCGACTTGAAAGATATAAGTCATTTACCAAGGTACAAAAAACAATTGGCTGAAGAATGTCCGGTCTGGCTGATGCTCTTGAGTGACTTTAAACAATGACCAGTGATTGTAACCAGTGATAATTACATGTGGTTTGAGATACCTTTAATGAGGAAGTGACCTGTATTGGTGTAATGTGTAGTGTAAACAGATTTACGTTTTCTGTCTTTTAATAAATTCTCAAAAGTAGACATTGTCAGACTGAAATGCGTCATTATAATAATGCGAGAAGAGTACAGACACATTAATAAAATGCTCGCAATAATTTCATGATTTACAGTATATACAAGCTGTTTTAACTGTATCCCTGCTGGAAACTGAACCAGAAAGCACATACTGCTGTAACATGAAACATGGTCCCTGTGCGTTGAAAGGAAAACAATACAGTCATTCCAGTCAATCATATTATCAGTTCTGAGCTGTCATTGGGCTATCCAGAGTATATATTCACAACCAGTGGGGTGCAGTATCCACGGAAATATAACACAAGGCTGTCTTGTTGGGCAGGCCATCACATATCCATGTTCCATCTGTACACATGGGAGGACCACAGGCTTGTTTGAAAAATGTCACTATTTCAGAAGGGACAAGGTGTTCCAGCACTGTTCCATCTGTACACAGCGGAGGACCACAGACTGGTTTGTGAAATGTCACTGTTTCAGAAGGGACAAGGTGTTCCAGCACTTGTACGAGACTGTATGCATCACTGCCATCTGACTGGTCATGTGTCTCCTGTCTGACTGACCGACATGACCTCTACTGGCTGGAGTGACATGCCGGATGTGTCTTTACATGTGGACATGGTGACATGCATGCCTGGTTGTGACTGGGCAGCAGTTAGCTGGGGTCCTGGTAGGTTTACATTGGGATGCACCAACTGGTACAGGGACACTGGAATAGTCACAACACCTGCAACAAACAAGGTATTTGTCAAAATCTGATGTAACCATCAAGGCTGGAGAGGCCTATACTAACCTGGGACCCCAATGGGAACATAAACACGAAAACCAGAACAACATTCTTAGTGTGTTCATGAAATTAAAATGGGTAGTCACAACTTTGAATTATGGTAAATATTGATCAATAAACAATTACACCAACACTGTTTTCCAAACTACAGTCAATTCCACAGCTCAGTGACACAGCATGGTATGGTGTGGGTTGTAGCAATCAGTTGCATGATATCATCAAAAACATAACTCCTTGCCCTCAATGTCCATTTGAAGAATACTATAAATGAGATTGGACAGGTCAAAGGCATAGTTTGAACAGATTCCAAGTATTTTCTACAAAATTTAATGGAAGCCTTATATAGAGGGTATATATTACATAAGTACTGGATATGTTCACTACGTGCTTGGAATTATGAAATTATTTCCGTAACTGCTTGACAAACTTATGTAACCCCCCCCAAAAAAACCAAACCAACGAAAACAACTGACCACACTTGTCTTAGAACTGGTTAGAGGCAAATTCTAAATATAGGTGCCTAACCTGAATCTGTAGCACAAAGATTTGTGTCTCCAGTAAGCACCAGCTGATGATCCTGTCCGAGTGCAGCCCCGTGAAGAGCAACAGCCTGCTGGGTGTGACTGTCTGCCATATCCAGACTGAGAGAGTTCATATGGACTTGGTCTCCCTGAGCGATGGAGCCATCAGCAAGTGTGTGGACTGCTTGAGCTGTCTCCTGCTGTTGCTGCTGCTGTTGTTGCTGTTGCTGTTGACTGTTGTGAACCTGCTGCAGAAGAAACAATCTTAATTTGGAATCAGCTACTCTTATTGAATAGTACTTACAGAGACATCATGCACAGAGATACACAGAGATGTCATACACAGAGATACACAGAGGTGTCATACACAGACATACAAAGAGGTGTCATACACAGAAATACACAGAGGTGTCATACACAGACATACACAGAGGTATCATACATAGAGGTGACATACACAGACATGAGACTTCATACACAGACATACACAGATATCATGCATACAGTGACATACACAGAGGTGTCATACACAGACATACACAGAGGTGTCATACACAGACATACACAGAGGTGTCATACACAGACAGACATACACAGAGGTGTCATACACAGACATACACAGAGGTGTCATACACAGACATACACAGAGGTGTCATACACAGACATACACAGAGGTGTCATACACAGACATACACAGAGGTGTCATACACAGACATACACAGAGGTGTCATGCATACACAGACATACACAGAGGTGTCATACACAGACATACACAGAGGTGTCATACACAGACATACACAGAGGTGTCATACACAGACATACACAGGTGTCATACACAGACATACACAGAGGTGTCATACACAGACATACACAGAGGTGTCATACACAGACAGAGGTGTCATACACAGACATACACAGAGGTGTCATACACAGACATACACAGAGGTGTCATACACAGACATACACATACACAGGTGTCATACACAGACATACACAGAGACTGTCATACACAGACATACACAGAGGTGTCATACACAGACATACACAGAGGTGTCATACACAGACATACACAGGGGTGTCATACACAGACATACACAGAGGTGTCATACACAGACATACACAGAGGTGTCATACACAGACATACACAGAGATTTCATACACAGACATACACAGAGGTGTCATACACAGACATACACAGAGGTGTCATACACAGACATACACAGAGGTGTCATACACAGACATACACAGAGTGTCATACACAGACATACACAGAGGTGTCATACACAGACATACACAGAGGTGTCATACACAGACATACACAGAGAGATATCATACACAGACATACACAGAGGTGTCATACACAGACATACACAGAGGTGTCATACACAGACATACATAGACAGAGAGGTGTCATACACAGACATACACAGAGGTGTCATACACATACACACATACACAGAGGTGTCATACACAGACATACACAGAGGTGTCATACAGATATCATGCACATACACAGAGGTGTCATACACAGACATACACTGAGGTGTCATACACAGACATACACTGAGATATCATGCATAGAGTGACATACACAGAGGTGTCATACACAGACATACACTGAGATCATACACAGACATACACAGAGGTGTCATACACAGACATACACAGAGGTGTCATGCACAGACATACACAGAGGTGTCATACACAGACATACACTGAGATATCATGCATAGAGGACATACATACACAGAGGTGTCATACACAGACATACACTGAGTCATATCAGAGATATCATGCACAGAGAGTGATACACATACATACAGGGATATCATGTCATACACAGACATACACTGAGATATCATGCATAGAGTGACATACACAGAGGTGTCATACACAGAGGTGTCATACACAGACATACACTGAGATATCATGCATAGAGTGACATACACAGAGGTGTCATACACAGACATACACTGAGATATCATGCATAGAGTGACATACACAGGGGTGTCATACACAGACATACACTGAGATATCATGCATAGAGTGACATACACAGAGGTGTCATACACAGACATACACTGAGATATCATGCATAGAGTGACATACACAGAGGTGTCATACACAGACATACACTGAGATATCATGCATAGAGTGACATACACAGAGGTGTCATACACAGACATACACTGAGATATCATGCATAGAGTGACATACACAGGGGTGTCATACAGACATACACTGAGATATCATGCATAGAGTGACATACACAGGGGTGTCATACACAGACATACACTGAGATATCATGCATAGAGTGACATACACAGACATACACTGAGATATCATGCATAGAGTGACATACACAGACATACACTTAGATATCATGCATAGAGTGACATACACAGACATGTCATACACAGACATACACTGAGATATCATGCATAGAGTGAGCTTTTTGTGTCATACACAGACAGCACTGAGATATCATGCATAGAGGACACATACAGACATACACTGGGATATCATGCATCACTGACATACACATGTGGGGACACTGGTCTCATGATAGAGCATATTCCACTAGGCTACCCCATGCATAGAGTGACATACACAGACATACACTGAGATATCATGCATAGAGTGACATACACAGAGGTGTCATACACAGACATACACTGAGATATCATGCATAGAGTGACATACACAGGGTGTCATACACAGAGGTGACATACACAGATGTCATACACAGACATACACTAAGATATCATGCATAGAGTGACATACACAGGGGTGTCATCCAGACATACACTAATATATCATGCATAGAGTGACATACTCTGAGATATCATGCATAGAGTGACATACACAGAGGTGTCATACACAGACATACACTGAGATATCATGCATTGAGGCAACATACACTGAAATATCATGCACAGAGGCGACATAAACAGAGGTGTCATACACAGACATACACTGAAGACTATTGTTAATAGGCTTGAACATGTTATTGCAACTATGACCAACAGAGGTAAACATTATGAGTAAAATATGCTCCGATGAGCAGAACATATGTTGACTGTGTGGATGGTAAACTATCAGGGTCAGTGTGAGCTGACTTACCGCATGTACAACAGTGGCCTGTGTTCCATCAGGCAGAGTGACGACACTGCCTGGATTGGTTGTGTGGATGGTAAACTATCAGGGTCATTGTGAGCTGACTTACCGCATGTACAACAGTGGCCTGTGTCCCATCAGGCAGAGTGACGACACTGCCTGGAGTGGTTGTGTCTATCTGTATGATGGACACAGAACCGTCAGGGTTGTTGACAGTCTGAAGCAGGGTCCCATTCATGGCTGCAGCATACTGGGGCTGAGCTTGCTGAACGGATGTTCCTTCATCATTGAAGATATGAAGCAGATCTTCACGGCCATGGTTTTTGTAACAATTTTTAACAATTGTGCGGAGGGCCTCAGTCCAAGAAACCTGAAACAGAAAACAAACATAACTATCATGTACACATGGAACAGTGCAAGTGCATGTAATACATCCCCATTGTGTGAAAGCAATTATGGCTGAGTCAAAAGAGGGTAGTCCTGGGCCTAGATTTTCGAAGCTCTCTTAGCGCTAAGATAGTCGTAAGTACCATACATTAACATTAACTTCCGACTATCTTAGTGCTGAGAGAGCTTCGAAAATCTAGGCCCTCTTGTCTGTGTGATTATCAAAACACACTGCATTGAAATACATCAGATTTTTAAGACATACTTGTGATAATGGTGCAAGTCTCTTCTAACATTAAAATAAAGATTTAGACCTCATCTTTTTCAAATAGACAAATACAAAAGGCTAATATGGCACCCTAACATGAAGGTATCTAAATGTAACAACACACTCAATAGCGGCACCAGTCCTGATATTAAGGCATTTAGTTCCATACACTTAATGCAATACAAGGAACAGCAACAATGATCTTTCCCTTTTCATCATAGGGTCTAAAAGAGTCCCGCAAGGACATGTGAAAAAGGCCTTTGAAAGAAATCTCCTCAGGTCAATAACCTGTGAACAATCAACATTAAAATCCAGGGCCGTAGTTAGACCGGCTAGGCAGCTGCCCCCCTAGATTTTTTTTACAGATTACTTTTTATGCATCAAAATATTGATATAACACTCTTTTAATACTGATAGTGCCCCCTTTATTAAGAAAAGTTAACTACGGCCCTGAAATCGCTGGCAGTAATGTCACAGGTTTAAAACACGACCACTGGGCTGGTGTCCAATGTCTTTATTCTGCCATTTGTCATTTTGGGGTACAAACACGAGCGTGCCATAAACCTGTAATTAGGAAATTACGTACAGGGCTGCCACTGCCAGCATGGTGTGTGTAATTATAAATTAATATGATAAAGTAAAACTATTGTGACATTTACATACTTACTAAATAGAAACAATTATGAAAGTTAATGGTTACTAAACCATTATTAAACATAGTTACTTGAGTACATGATTACATCTGACTTAAAATGAGACATTGTTTTAATATAAACAATTCAAACAAACTTGCATACCTGAAATTAGGAAATTACGTACAGGGCTGCCACTGCCAGCATGGTGTGTGCCAGGCACATGGCACATGCAGCTTTTATATCACCTGAGTGCACAGACTGCAGGAGCAGCATGTGCCAGAGCCCAGGATGTACCAGCTGGCAGCAAGCTCATCTGTATGGCAAGCTGTTAGGGAAACAAATTGTGAAATGTGCCAGGGGTGCTGTGCTATACATTGTATGAAAGATTGAACCTGTGACAGTAACAATTATCAAATTCTGACAAATCATTAATCAATCCCATCTCATTTCATAGTTGACACGAGCAAACTTTCCAGAAACTGCTGGTGGAAAAATGCAGTACACGATCATGAGATACACACCCATCCTGGTATAGATTGTTTCACTGCTCACAACATAAACATAACCACTTGGTTCACTAAAAATACCTGCTTTAATACTTTACGGTATTGCTGGTTTGTATTGATCAACAGAACCTGTAAATCTGACCTTCCACCTACAACTGACAGTTTCATACCTTCTGCTTCTGTTCCTCTGTGCGAGCATCACTGCGGACATTAGCCCAGGGTAGATCCTCTGGCCACCACATCGGGCGGTGTTCCGGCTTACCCCACCCGGGCTTGCCCCGACCGGTCGAGTACTTGAGCATGAGTGGGATGAATGCTCGCAGCTGCGCCTGGGGCACAACAAACACAGTTTCACAAGTGTACAGTTTGTTCATGATACAGTTTGACCATAATACGAAACATATGTTTGAAGCAGTATATTACTTTCAAGCATTCATCAATGTGTGTCTAGATAATGCAGCATGAATGAATGTAATATCATGCTCAGTAGGAAGTTTCCACTTTTATCTCGGAGGGGAAATAAGTCAAGCGAATCCTGTGATGGATAGCATGAGCAAATGTCCATGTTATCAGTGTATGATGACACACAACCAGCCAGCTCATTCTAACCAACCAATCCTCTTATTGATAACACATATAAGTCGGCCCATGTGATGGGAACAGGATATAAGGTGTGTACTATATGTTAGAATTCCCAGGCGTAGTCTCTACCTGAGTCATTTTATCAACTGGAGTCGGGATGCCATCAATACACAAGGGAGGTAAGTCATGCATGCTGGAATTCTCCATCTGTGGCATAACCTGCTCAGCCAGGGCTGTCTCCAGGTCCTGGAGAATCATGTTGCGACAGTTACGCATCTGAAACATAAATATAGTTTGTCCTTTCTCTGCAGATAATATAAAAATACATCAACATCTAGTATTATCAGTGAAATGTCTTTTCCAACCATGGACATTTGAACTTTGACAATGTGTCATAAAAAGTTAAGTGGTGAGTATCTATGGTGAGCGTCTGTGACGAGTGTCTGTGACAAGTATCTGTGACGAGTGTCTGTGACGAGCGTCTGTGATGAGTGACTGTGGAGAGCGTCTGTGATGAGCGTCTGTGGTGAGTGTCTGTGGTGAGTATCTGTGATGAATATCTGTGGTGAGTGTCTGTGGAGAGCGTCTGTAATGAGCATCTGTGATGAGTCTGTGGTGAATATCTGTGGTGAGTGTCTGTGATGAGTATCTGTGGTGAGAGTCTGTGACGAGTGACTGGTGAGTATCTATGGTGAGTGTCTGTGACGAGTGTCTGTGACAAGTATCTGTGACGTCTGCGACGAGTGTCTGCGACGAGCGTCTGTGATGAGTGACTGTGGAGAGCGTCTGTGATGAGTGTCTGTGGTGAGCGTCTGTGGTGAGTGTCTGTGGTGAGTATCTGTGATGAATATCTGTGGTGAGTGTCTGTGGAGAGCGTCTGTGATGAGCATCTGTGATGAGTCTGTGGTGAATATCTGTGGTGAGTGTCTGTGATGAGTATCTGTGGTGAGTGTCTGTGACAAGCCTCTGTGATGAGAGACTGTGACAAGTATCTGTGGTGAGTGTCTGTGATGAGCGTCTGTGACGAGTGACTGGTGAGTATCTGTGGTGAGTGTCTGTGATGAGCGTCTGTGACGAGTGACTGGTGAGTATCTGTGGTGAGTGTCTGTGATGAGCGTCTGTGACGAGTGACTGGTGAGTATCTGTGGTGAGTGTCTGTGATGAGTATCTGTGATGAGTATCTGTGATGAGTGTCTGTGATGAGCGTCTTTGACGAGTGACTGGTGAGTATCTGTGGTGAGTGTCTGTGGTGAGTGTCTGTGATGAGTATCTGTGGTGAGAGTCTGGGACGAGTGTGGTGAGTGTCTGTGATGAGAGTCTGTGACGAGTGACTGGTGAGTATCTGTGGTGAGTGTCTGTGATGAGTGTGGTGAGTGTCTGTGATGAGAGTCTGTGACGAGTGACTGGTGAGTATCTGTGGTGAGTGTCTGTGACAAGCGTCTGTGATGAGAGACTGTGACGAGTGACTGGTGAGTAGCTGTGGTGAGTGTCTGTGACAAGCGTCTGTGATGAGAGTCTGTGACGAGTGACTGGTGAGTATCTGTGGTGAGTGTCTGTGACAAGCGTCTGTGATGAGAGACTGTTACAAGCGTCTGTAATGAGTGACTGTGGTGAGTATCTGTGGAGAGTCTGTGACGAGTGTCTGTGACGAGCGTCTGTGACGAGTGTCTGTGCCGAGCGTCTATGACGAGCGTCTGTGATGAGTGTCTGTGACGAGCGTCTGTGATGAGCGTCTGTGACGAGCGTCTGTGACGAGTGTCTGTGACGAGCGTCTGTGATGAGCGTCTGTGACGAGCGTCTGTGATGAGTATCTGTTGAGAGTGTCTGTGACGAGTGACTGTGGTGAGCGTCTGTGGTGAGTGTCTGTGACGAGTGTAATGAGTGACAGTGAGAGTCTGTGATGAGCATCTGTGGTGAGTCTGTGATGAGTGTGTGTGATGAGTGCTGAGTATCTGTGATGAGCATCTGTGGTGAGTATCTGTGATGAGCATCTGTGGTGAGTATCTGTGATGAGTCTGTGATGAATGTGTGTGATGAGTGCTGAGTATCTGTGATGAGCATCTGTGGTGAGTATCTGTGGTGAGCGTCTGTGATGAGCATCTGTGATGAGCGTCCGTGGTGAGTATCTGTGGCGAGCATCTGCGGTGAGCATCTGTGATAAGTGTCTGTGATGAGCGTCTGTGATGAGTATATGAGATGGGAAGGCAGCTCACCACACTTTCAAGAGGCTGAGAGCCAAACACTTTGAAGGACTGGACTGACTTGGTCCCTTTGCCAGGGGTACAGCAGACAATGACCGCCTGCTGACCTACTCGTGTTGTGAACTCCTCGATGGCCATCTTCAGCTTCCTGGCAAGTAACATTTTTCACATGAACACCTAATTACAGCCATTTGAAACATTAAGCCAAAAATAGTGCCACATTACAGTAGCCCACCTGAGACGTCAACAGTCTGAGATATCAGCATAAACACAACCGCTGTCAGCAGAACTACTAAAACATTTTCTACATACCGGGTACATACTGAGGACAAAGGTACTAACAGAGTATGAAACAACTTCCTGTTACTACCTACAATGTATCTCTATCTGCAAAATATAATCTACTATAGAAAAAAAATGCCATCGTGTAGTTTTAACTCTGAGATTCACAAACTTTCAAAGGAAAATAGTTTTTCTAATGACGTATATATAATGTTCAATTATTTTTAAGAAAAGGCACTGCAAAATCCTAATGATCTGAACAAAATCTGACCCATCTTAAGGAGAATTAAGCATGAAAACATTCAGCTTCCCTAGTCCTAGATAATTACAGTTCATTTTCAGCAGAAATGGCCAAAGACAGTTTTTTTTTAGTATCACTGCTGTGGCAGCTAAATTGTGAAAATCAAGTTCAAACTTCATGAGTTAGTGAGTTTAGTTTTACGCTGCACTCAGCAACATTCCAGCTATATGGCGGCGGTCTGTAAATAATTGAGTCAGACAATCCAGTAATCAGCAGCATAAGCATCGATCTGCGCAATTGGGAACCGATGACATGTGTAACCAAGCCAGCGAGTGTCTGACCACCCAATCCTGTTAGTCGCCTCTTGCGACAAGCATGGGTTACTGAAGGTTCATTCTAACCCGGACCTTCACAGGTGTCAAACTTCATGAAGAAACTTGGATGCTATCAGTGCTGATAACAATGAGTATTAAACATGTATTAAATCGCATATTTCAGCAATATGAAGACTGTCTGTAAATAGCTTAGTCTGGATGAGGCAATCCAGTGATAGACATCATGAGCATGTTTTTTCACTGATTTACTCAACTTTGGACATAGTATAACTATGGTGAACATGCACTTACCTAAGTAATCTAGTTTGCTGTCTTTTCCTGTTGGAAGGGTTGGTCTCGAACATGTGCGGTCGTTTTCGTTTCTTACCAGTTGCTATGGCAGCTGCTGCAGCGATCCCAACTGTGCCTGCGAGAAAGTAAAACTCATGGGTGAGGCATCCTGTCCATCATTTCATTGGGAGCCCTCACGAGCAACCAACGCTAGGACAACTCACTGGGGATGATGGGGACGCTTCCTGAATGATACCTCATGTTTGCTAAACCAAACTGAAAACGTTGTCCTGCCTACAACAATGCACACTGTACACTATTGAAACAACTGTTACTGTCACCATATCCTACCAACACCATAACCATGATAATTCAAGAAGCAGGGCAACAGTGACACAGAGAGAACACCATGTGTGATGTGATCAGTATTTTTGTAGAGTTGTAATGTCATTGCTTGTATTTCAGTGATCTAGCGACTGCATGCTATGCAACTAAAGCAATCTACACTATCTCCGACAGCCACCTCAACTTCTATAAGTCTGTGTGTTAATGTCCTAGCACACCCCAGTCACTGCCAACTCGAGCCAGTGCCTTGCCAACACTATCACAGCCACTGGACATTTCAGTACCACACAAAACAAGAGTTGCCTCGCTGACAAGAAAACTGGGTGTGTTTTGTAACTGATTCCTGATATTTGCAAGATCAGCTAACTCATTTTCCACCTTCCATAAAAAAACAACATTGACAGTGCAAAGTGAGCTGAACATTACAAAGTAATGTAGGCTTGACTGCTCATGATGCGAGGAGTGGTATTGTTGTCTGATTAAACAAAACATTCCTTATGTCTTCAATGTTTCACTAGTGGATCAGCCAGCCCTTATTTGTTTGGGTATTACAGATGCGGACGATCTGGTTGAACTATGTGAAAGTACAAACCCGAGGCTGCAAGTTGAGATGTGACTTCGTCGGCTGTGAGGAGGTCTGTGGGGTCAAACGCTTCACTCTCTGGGGAGCTGGGGCCACTCATACCATCACTCATCATGTCGGAGGTGATGTGGGCTGGGTTGATGGTAATGGTACCCGCCAGATTCTGAGTGTTGATATTCATGGTGACTTCAGGTGGGTTCGCTCACCTGCCGGAACATTCACAAAACCACTTTAAAAAACATTTCAGGGATAGAAACTAGCCCAATCTCATGGAAGTTTGTGTACTGTTAAAGGTATTGTGACAAATTCTAAAGCTTCATGCTTTGCTCACTATTTTGAATTACAGATGACTTATGTCTAATTTCACCACTGCACCCATTGCCCTCACATGAAACAAGTATCATGTAACTACTTCACTTACTTAATGCAGCGATGAGGATGGGCATGAGTGAAAAAAGAGGAAAATGGCCCGGGGGTCTTGGGGGCCGCAGGTCTAGACGATTCAGCGCAACTAAATCCGCGGATCTGTGGAAAATTCTCATCCCTGTTTATGATATGGATCCGTGTGGCTGCTAGTCCAAACTAAAGCCAGGTGGGATAAAGAGAAACTTTATGGATGAACAACCTCTTTATTCAGGTGATGCGACATTTCAATAGATTCTTAATTGACAACGATACAAGAATCTGTATTGAAACGTCTGACAACGATACAAGAATCTGTATCGAAATGTCGCATCACCTGAATAAAGAAGTTGTTCATCCATTAAGTTTCTCCTTATCTTATTCACTATCTCTTAGTATCTTGTGATATCACACGGCAGAGAACTAGTGTTGGGAATTGGTTAAAATCTCATAATTGATGATTGCTTCATTATAACCGATCAATCATCGAAAATAATTGGTTAGTTTTATTTATAAAATAAGGAACAAACATGTAGTTCTTTGGGGTTTTTTTTGGCAAAATTTCACATCTTTAAATGATAACTTGTATGTTACGAACATAAATTTCTTGGAGTCTTTAAGATAAATTCAATCATGACTTGGAACGAGTTTGTTGGGCTTATGAAATGTAACAGACAAAATCAGCCTTGTGAAATATTTTGTTAATGAAAACAAGTGTTCCAGAATTGTTTGTGTTGGATTATGAGAAAACATGATCGATTGCTTGGTTGTTTAGTCACTGCGTCCAATCGTCGATTATTTCAATTTATCGGACCACCACTACAGAGAACTGAGCCACTAAAGTTTTGCTTTTCACCCAGATGCTCTAACCACCATTCAGAGGGAAGGAGAGAAAACAATGTCTACTGGTTAAATGGAGCAGACAATCAAGTGATTGGTATGAGTAACACTGTCAGACTATGGTGTCATGCAAATCAACCAAGTCACAAAGTCTCACCACCCATACCATCATATGTCATCACTTACAACCAACATAGCTTGCTGGGCACCTACTCGTATACACTCTGCAAAAAACAAGAAACACAAAAGTGCTTTTAAGGTGTTTACTTAATGTATTACATAAAAAAATCAACAGATCATAATAGAATGTTCAAATTGCACAATATTATTGTCCCTGACCATTGTTTATAATGGCACACATGAAACGTGTCAAGGTGAAGGTCATCTGTTATCAATATCTTGTACTGGCCCATAAAAGTCAAGAACTGCCTGACATCATTGCCCCATGGAACCAGATTAAAAATTGTGGCCTGGAGATTGTTCACCCACTCTTCTTGCACAGTGTATGTGTGTTGATCAAGAGCATCCGATAAATGTTTGATCAGGGAGAGGTCAGGCAGTGGCACTCAGTATAATTCAATCGCTAACCTTCCTTGTGAAAATTTTAAAAAAGCCTTTGAAGCAAGAACACAACCTCAGAGTATCAAAGTACACACTCTGGCGACTCTTACACTCTTTCGGGTATCGTTATAAGAAAATTTCATGGGAGAATAGGTCAGTACTCTGTGAATGCCCTGATATCGTTTGCTTGAGAAATAATTTTCTCAGGGTTATAAAGAAGAAGCGCGAGGAAGGGTTCGAGCCAGTGTACTTGGACGAGACCTGGGTCAATGCCTCGCACACTGCCAGCAGTCATTGGGTACCCGATGGGGGTGATAAGGGATCACGTAGAAAGCTGCCTCTAAGGAAAGGAGAGAGACTAATCATTCTCCATGCTGGTTGCTCCAGCAAAGGCTTTCTCCCAGGCTGCGACTTGGTATTCAGGGCAAAGTCCACAGATAACAGAGACTACCATTCAGTGAAGCATGAATACCCCACTCAGACACATTATACTGACTCCGAGCCGACCAGTCCTTGATGTACCCATTAATGCTGAGTGCCAGGCAGGGACCAACAAGTACCATATTGTAACGTCTTTTGGTATGACGCGGTCAGGGATTGAACCCGCGACCTTCCGCTCTCCGGGTGGACGCTCTAACCACTACACCACTGAGGCAGTCTCGTGGATACTTACTTCTTGTTTATTGTGTAATATTAATTCAGGGTTGGTTACATCAAGATAATAGTATAATGCACTTAGTAATATAGCACTTGAATCAGGTTTGTGAGTGTTAAAAGAAGGTAACCTGCCAAAAAGATACAGAGAGCTTATGACAAGAAATGATGAAGGACTTCATGAGTTAATGTCCTTTAACATGCCAATTTTACAAGATACTGAAGATTTCATTGGAAGAGAATGCAAAGATCCACCATACAAGTATACATGGTTACAGTCTTAATGACAGTTAATATTTGTTCATTACTATATACCATGTACATGCACTTTGTAGTGATCAATTACAAAACACCTTGAATTAACACCAATGACAGGTATGGGTTGCTGGAGACAATTCTAACCCAGATCTTCATGGTTCCAAGACAGATCACTGAGTCATTGCAAGACAGACATAATCTCGAAGGAAAGTTAGGTTAGAATCTCTTGATTGCAGTACACAATTTAAGGAATAGTGTATTTAAAAAGTGCCGAAGGCAATGTCACTTCTATTTTCTCATTGATGCATTTTGCAGTAAAACAGGGATGTCATTGTGAATTGCATCATCAGTGAATAGATAATTTATTAACATGATACTATATATGGATACAGACCATGAGTATCAGACAGAAGAACATTCAATTTGAAAACAGTTAGTCGATCAGCCTAGATCATATTTAACACTTAGTTTATTGATTTGCATCTATATAGATATTCAGAATTACTCCTGAGTTGATATTTTGAGATGTTCACCCCAGACTTAAATTGTTCTTGTTTGCTCTTTATTTACCTGCAAACCATTATATGTATATAACATCTGCACAACATGATTTTACAAACAAGAAAAACAATATGAATATTTTAGTATGTGGATGTTTAAATTTCTGTCTTTAAGTAGATCTAGGGAACTCCTCTACATTATAGTGGTTATCTAGGGCAGAGTTTATTGTTTGGTATAAATTAACAAAATTAGCACTGAGTTCTATTAACAGTTATATATATTTACTTAAACATTTGCCCTACCCCCATGCATTTGACAAATGGTATATCTGGTGCAGTGCCAATAAAACAAGAGTTTTGCCTGTTCTGACTTGGGATCTTTTTAAAGCAAAACAAGCAAATGCAATGTAGTTTGTAAATTGATGATTTTCGCGTTTGGAGCATTCGGTAAAGACCATAAAAATTCGTTGTGTGTATTTACATTTGGAATCGCTGGACGTTCTGTTAAGATTTAATTATATTGCATATATACATTGTGGCTGGCATTATAGTTCGCACTCAATGCGCAGAACGGTTCATCTGTAGACGAAATTTGACAGATACACATTTGCGACTGCGCTGTACATGAACCTGCGCGCGCAAGGATATTGCCATCCAAGTTTCAACACAGTCTGTTGTGTAATAGGAGGCCGCGGAAACATGCGATTTTATGGCCAAGACAGCAGCTGAACTAACAATCCACTCCTACGACATTTCGTTTCGACGACCTGACACAGTGACTACTAGTACAACATCGAAAAGTGAATTGTCAACTCACAAAATGGCGGTCTTCCAATAGAGAACAATGGAACACTGTTGACAGTGCCCTCCTTTCAAAGAGGATAGCAACCAATCTCGCTGTTGTTTACCCGTTCTGAGAGATGAGAAATACGAATAAATGATTGTTTTTACTCCAGATCTACTTATATATCTTATACTCACCATAGATAGTCTGAAAACCTAGCTTAAATTCACTCAAATATTTAGGCCATATGCGCAGATTGGTTCATTTTTAGGTATCGTTTGAGCAAGGGAGGGAGTTTCAGCGATGATGAATTAGCGCCACCTGTCGTTGTCTAATGAAAATTGGCGGGCCATTTGAACGCCTTGAGTTGTAACTCGTTGAAGGTATTCAGTAATGAATGCATGCTTTCGGCGAATTGGATGATAAGTATTTTCATAACGGCTGTCAGTACGTGCTTGTAACAGTTGATATAGGCATCACTGCCTTACAAGATGCATTCGTGGGACGATTAATTGATAGGTAAATTCTGCGTTTAGCCTAGAAGAAATGGACAAGAATTTATTTTTTTTACTTTTAAATAACACTCCTTGTCTTCACACTGAAATGCATTAGCCACCGATGTTGGAGAGAATTTTCCCTTCTTCCTCAAGTAAATGCTTGACATCAGATAAACATCGGGTTGTTATAGCTCGGGATTCTCCCTAAATATTATTATCATTGCGAATAAGCACCATGTAGTGAATAGTGTGGAAGTAATATAGTCGGGGCCTTTATTCGAGCAAATACGGTTGATACATATGTCCAAAAAGTTTACCCAACCTATATATCACGTCAAAGGAAAAGAACTGAAATTCCTTGCAAAAATTATAAATATTAAAGCAACAACAGTGTCATATCCTTTCTCTTCCTCTGTAGTATCAAATTGTATAATGTTTGTTGTATCAATTATTATATGTAGTGCCAGCTCACCATGCTGTATGTATTATACCCTGTACTTCACTCTTATACCACCTTGGTGGTCTTGATGGAGAATAAAAGAATCTTGATTCTAGACTCATTTGACCCGTGAAGATCACGCCGAGTATGAGTACAGTGTGCAGCCCATTTCTGATGTCACTCGATCGCTGTGATATTGCTGAAATATTATACTATTCACGCTTTGCTCAGGATCAAATAATTGATTCAACAGAAAACTATGTGTGGTCAAATTTGGTTTAAATAGATAAGCTTATTGTAAGCATGGATCCTAGGTTTCAGTATGTCATTGCATCTTATGAACCCCATACCTGCTATTGACATGTGTTGTTTATTTCTCAGTGACCCGTTCCATGATCTGCAAAATGGTTGATTGGTGCCATGAAAACCATGTTTATGGTTACTCATGTATCAAGTGCATAAGGTTAGAATAAAGTGTCTGTCTGCCTAAAGAGGGGTTACCATTTTATTATTTATCCAGTTTTAAAAGGATACAATTTCAAATTATGAATCTACGTTAAAGTAAAGTTGTGAATTTTTTGTGATCCTTAGCAAAGTGTGAGTAGTATATATATTGCTAAAAGCGGCGTAAAACTAAACTCACTCAGTCTTCCTGTGGGAAGTCTGACGGAGGCAGGTTCTGGAGAAGTAGTCAGGTACGCCAGGAAGTAAGTTGGGTTGACGCCATGCACTGTGAACGGTATTCCAGTTATATCATGTCGTGTCAGCGTAATGCGTGAGGAAAGCCCGAACTGATGCAGACGTTTAACTATTTGATTAAAAGGTGTGAACATTGTGCTGACAAACCTCTAAGCATGATCAAAGCCATCCTCGATAATCTCTAGGGTATACATTACGATCACTCTCCACTATACGTATACCCTGGAGATTATCGAGGATGGATCAAGGCAAACCCGGACATTAACCATCAAGGTTTCTGGATGTCTAACTTTGGATAAGGAGAAACTTTATGGATGAACAACTTCTTTATTCAGGTATACCTTCTTGACAACGATGCAAGAATCTGTATCGAAACGTCGCATCAGCTGAATAAAGAAGTTGTTCATCCATAAAATGTGTCCTTATCTGAATGTCCAACTTCTAAAAATGCCACTCAAAGAAGTTGTCTAACTTTGAGCAACGAGTTTGTATGGAGACTATTTGTTTTCCAGTACAGCTGAAAAAACACCTATTCTTAAAAAAATGAAACTTATAACCTATAATACTATATTTGCATCAATGTATTTTGTTGTGGCAGACAATTCATTTTGTAACACTTTGAATCAGAAATAGTTTTGACAACCTATTCGAAAACAATTACTTCTTTCCCATAGACTCTCCGGGTTGTGTTAGACAGATTACGAAATGGGAGCTAAGTCTGTCACGCCGGATTCAGAGAGAACGTATACATTCTCAAAGTTAAAACCGTTTTCAAGATTAAAAACGTAAGGTGACACAACCTTTTGTCGTATCAGTGCATGTCATCTGGGAAAACGGTAACTCGAACCGTCATATAAACTTAGTGTGCCTCATTTATGTGTGTAAAATTCTGTAGGGCCTACTTAAAGATTCGAAGACGGAAATCACTTGATGAATCCTCTCACTCAACTTTGCCTTGACCCTAGTGCTCATTAATGGTATATGAGGTAATGATATCTCGCTTTTAGCAGTCATTGTAATCATATGCATATGGTACTCGAGACAATGAGACACTTTCTGAAGTGTTTCGCTTACCGCGATTTCTGACAACCTCAAAAGTGTAAGATAGATATAGAGAGAGTGTTTGTCTATGCAAGACTAAGCTAGGTTTAAGTCTTATAGAGCGGTGGATACAAGAACATGCCGTGCTAGACTGTGTTGAGAGAACAAAATGGAAACCAGCCCTAAAAGTTAAGTAGTCTGACTGTTATTTTATTGATTGTTGGTATATAACACTATGTAGCTGTTCTCCCGCAGTGTTTTATATCTTCTAGTAGGAGTGATTTCGTTCTTGTTTTGTCTCTGACACACGAATATATTATACCAGAGTGACCAGGTCTGCTCAAACTGGTCTCAGTACGAACTAAAATTGCCATATATAGGCCGGAGGTGAAACCATACATCGTGTTCAGGGGCACATCGTGAGTTTTCTTGCTACGATATGATCGACCATATGTTTTCTGCATCGATACATCGATACGCTCCTAATCCTTGCAAATCCGTCGTGCAGCGTGCTCTGTCGTACAGCGTGCTCTGACAAACGGAAATCTGGAAATACTGGAAATCTCAAAACGAGGCTCTGCCGCTAGAAAAGTTTGGCGGTCTGGTACGGACCTGATATTATATCAATCACATTGTACGTTACAAAACTACAATGAATAGGCGCAAAGAACACATAACAGGTGTAACCAGTGAGCCAGATGAATTGTGAATTATTTTACGACCTCATCAAACAGGGGCAGTCTGTGACGTATTAGTTTACGACATGTTGCCTACACCTCGCCATAAAATATAGAAATACGATGTTATTAAAGTTTAAAATTAAAATTAACTTGTAAATACCATTTTCTTATGAAACAAGGAATTGAAATTCAGTGTAACCATAGTTGTTTGTGGTGTCTTTTTTCACTTTCACACGAGAAAATTCGAATGGGCTGAAAAGTAGGTCATTGTCTAAATAGGTTAATGAGACTCATGTTTCGGTTTGATTCTGATATATTTTTTTGTTTCCTTACGATATGAGTTAATGTATCTATTTATCGTGACGCACTGCAGACACACACACCTATCTAAACTTATGTCCAAAAGAAACGATACCAAATATTTTTTTCAATATGTTTAAATTAATGATACTTTTTGCAGAAAAAACATATTTCTGTGTATCCCACGTTCCTAACCAAACGTATTCGATCGAAAAAAAAACGGTAACATTTATTCACTTAAGAAGCAATCGCACGAATACTCAAAATGACATTAAGTCGTGTAGCACGAAATGCACGTGCAGATGAACTGTATAAAACCACTGGTCCGACACGTTGTGCCCACAGCAGTAAAAAGTACACAAAAGAAATGGCACGTTTGACAGCGATCGAGAGAGAAAGAGCCGTTGGAATGGTCCGACAGGGAGCATCACACGCCGCTGTAGCAAGAACGTTTGGATGCGCGCGCATAATCGTTACCAGGTTAATGCGACGGTTGCGTCAAACAGGCCGAACAACAGACAGGCCGAGAAGCGGGAGACCCCAGGTGACCACGCCTATTCAAGACAACCACATCCGGTTACTTCACCTACGTAACCGCTTCGTTCCTGCGACGTTAACGGCGGCGACGGGACTGGGACACCGGATCAGTCGACAAACCGTCTACAGGAGACTGCAGGCACATGGTATCCGTGCACGTCGCCCCTACCGCGGAGTCTACCTGACACGTCAAAACAGTCAACCGATTGATATGGGCCAGGCGTGTTCGGCGGTGGCAACGTCGAAACTGGGCACGTGTCTTTTTTTCGGACGAAAGCCGGTTTTGCCTTTGCAAGAACGATGGCAGCGAGTATACCGAAGAGTTCGCGACCGTTTGGCGCCGAACTGCATCCAGCAAGTCCATGCATTTGGAGGCGAAGGTGTAATGATGCGGGGAAGTATCTGCGGTGATGTGAAAACGAGGCTCGTCATTATTCGGGGGAACCTGAATGCACAGCGTTACCAGGATGAGGTTTTACGACCAGTCGTGCAGCCATTCGCCCAACAGCATCCAGGAGGAATCGTGTTCCACCACGATAACGCAAGGCCTCATACGGCAAGATTGATCCAGAACTTCCTTGCCAACGCCAACATACAGGTTTTGTCATGGCCAGCGTGTTCACTGGATTTGAATCCCATTGAGCACATATGGGATCACCTCAATCGGAAAATCAGAAACGCCCTGCGCCCCCAGCCAACCTCCAACAATTGGAACATTGTCTCCAGGATGAGTGCCAGCGAATCGCCCCTAACGTCATCCGACGTTTGACGTCATCAGCTCGGAGGCGTGTCATGGCATGTATCGCAGCTGCTGGTGGACATACCCGGTACTAAAGTGGCGTTAAGACTGTTTTCAGAGACTACCCTCGCTAGCCTCCTCCACTGTGCTAAAATGAAATTTCAATTTTGGGTACCACACTTCGTTTAAAGCCCTGTGTTAATGATTGTAAATCTTTGGTTGCCATGACTTTTTGTACACATGCCGTAACATCATTTATCTAATGAAAGATATCAATTTGAAATGTCTATGTTGTTTTGTTTTCATTTAGTGATCTTTTGAAAAACGTGTGGTATGGATTTACAACTTCATAGGAGGCCAGCGCGCTGGA